AAATCCTACTTTCCTTGGGTAAAATTACCAGAGTGAAAGGTATATGGAGTGTGAGTCCCTTGATGCTTTTTTTATGTCATCTCTTCTTGGCTGAGTCCACTTCCCTGTAGTAAATCCCACAGATGCTTGAGAAAGGGGAACTGTTCTACTTTTATTTTAAATCATCAAATATTTTTCCTTTTGTATTGATGTAGAAGTGCTGAGGCTTTTTGCACACATAACTTTTATAGAATCTGTGTTAGTTGGAAAACTTACTAATTGAACTTATTACTTACTACATCCCTTCCTAATCTTCAGTAATTGTATGTCACATGTTTATCCCCACTTGTACTTAACTGGAAGAGAAGGAAATGTTTTCCAACTTTAGTCCCAGAGTATGAGCTACCAAATTCCAAAGGAGGAAGTACTAAGAGTGGAAAATGGATGCTAATCTTAAAATTTCTATACCAAACCACTTAAAGAAGGGCGTGTGAGAATGTTATACTCCAGATAGCATCAGCAGATACCTTACACTATTGTATTTGTTTGAATGAAAAATAATGCCAATAACCCAAAGACTGCTCAAGGTCACAGTGATGAAATCAGTGGTAGAGCTGAGATTAGTCCAATTAAAACATCAACACCTTAAGGTAAAATGAGAGGATAATTCTATTAACCTGATTTCAGAAGGGACACAGAAGCAATCAAAAGTTATGTGGGGTTTTGTAACATTACCTTAAATAAAAGCTTAACTGTTGAATACAGTTAAATGGACATTCTGTGTAATAAAGTTCTTTCCATAAAACTAGTTAGTAGTGACGCCCCATTAGAAGGTTTGGGAGAGCAATGCAATGAATTCTTTATAGGGATGCTTTTTACCACTTGTTTCTAATTCTTTATTAACATAAAGATAAATTTACTATTTCAGTAATTTTATACCAGGAAGTGCTGTGATTGTGTATCATCATACATCTCTTAACTCATAATCTGGCTAGATTTTGCCAGATCTCTTTTAGAATGGCTGCCAAGGGAGTGCAGACAACCCATCCCTGTGCTTGAGGCAAAGGGAATGATGTGTATATCATGCAGCTGTGTGGTCATGTGTAAGACTTTGTGTGCTCTGGTGAAATGCTGGTGGGTGGAAGAGTAGCAGAACAAAATCCCATGGCTCTTTCTGCAGAGCAACATCACCGATAGAACATCACTTATTGGCTTGACAGCCTGTGATCAGCAAGTCAGGACTACAGAAGGATAAGGAAAAGAACTCAGTCACCAGGTGTGATTGCACTTTCTGAGGTATTTGTAGGGTGGTCATCTTGGGATTGCTGTGACAAGACTGCAATGAGCTTTCCTCTTGATATTAATAGATAGAAATAGACCCCCTATTCTTGAAAAATTATTTATTCCTCCTAAATAAGCCCGGCCAGGTCTCTGCTAAATTTTATCATAAAGTTATATAATTTTTTCATATAGGCCATTTTCTTCTGCAGTGTGATTCAGAGTGAAGATAATCTTCCACGCAGATTGTCTTTTTAACAAAAAGGATACTGCAAAGTAAATTTACACTGTAACTACATGGACGGTAAAAGTTAGCTATGCTGATGGAATGATTAGAAATAGTCTCATAAAAGTTTGAGTGTAGGGAGACAACACATTGACATAGCTATGACTCAAAACACATTTTTCTTTCTCCTTCTGCATCTGCTGCCATAACAAACACTCCTGCCTTGCAACCAACTTTTATTTTTTAAGCTTTGAATTTTAGTAATGACTGTTGTAGCACTGGTTTTGGGGTTCCTAGGTCAGGCATATAGTGAAAGATCATGGGAAGTTGTATTTCTATTCATGGACTTGGAGAACTTCAAAATAACCACATCTCTGTTAATACCCAACTGTGGAACCTAAATATGAAAACACTCCTTCTCGTCAATTGTTCTGGTGATTCTGCTTGCACAGTGATAGCATGGAGAATTATAAGTGGTATCATTGGCAATAAAGGCACATGAGCAACTGATACTGGAAAGAGGGATGACTAGAAGCAAGGAGTGGCATGAAGTTCCACAGACAGGTCGACTCAGAAATAGATAACTGATGTAAGCTTAAGGCAAAGATGCTAATGCTAAAGCAGAATTGGCTTTGTTGCAAAATGGTTGGTTATTTCAGACTGTCAAACAATTTATAGTAAATAAATTAATGCATACATGTGGATGTTATCTGTGCATTAAAAGCAGGATTCTTCTGGATTAAAATGCATAACCCAAAAAGCTGTAAAGTAGCTGAGCAAGAAATAAAACAGGCTATGATGTCTTCCTCAAAGACTGATTATTTCTGACAGGCATATAAAGCAGCTGGTAGACAGGATCATTATCCTTCTGGCAATAAGGAAACGGAGACAGAGCACTTCAGGACACTTTCTAGCAAAAGCACGTGTACCTAAGAATTTTGAAGATAAGGATTTGTATTTGCTTCTGTTCATAACATCACAGCCATGTAAGCTTGAGTGAGGATTCTGTAAGAGTGGTCTCAGTGCTTAAAGGCATGTTGATTTCCCCATTCTCCAGTTTGGGATGTCACAGCAAGCCACATACATGTCAGAGGAAGGGACAATAAGAAGTTGTTGGTCACTCTGAGAAACAAAGACTGGAGAAGGAAAATAGTCCTGTTTTAATTTCATAGCTCAAGAAGCAATCATGCTCCCTGTGGAGCCGGGACAAAGGTGGGGCGGAGAAAATCAGTCACTAAATTTTTGAGGTGCTTGGTCAAGAGTAGCTCTTCACCTGCATAAAAATGCCAACATATTGAACTGAGGGATGGTGCAACATTAGGTGAAGGATGATTAAATTTTCCAATCCCAACAAATGAATGAGACTGGTTCCAGATCTAGAAGTTTTGTGGCAAAGAAAGCTGAATAGAAAATATGCAAGTTTCCAACTTCTTCCTGTGAACATACACATTCAATTTAATCTAAAAAGGGGGTAGGTTTGCTGTGTACATGGAGTTGCTGTTACAGTTTGCAAAGACTGTATATGAATTAAATCATGGAGACTTCTTTTTTTTCTGAGGCAATGGTAGTTCCAGCCAGGAGACTAGCTAGAAAAACACAGGGAGGAAAAGAAAATCTTAAAACTATTGGGAATCTTCCAAGTGTTTTTAGAAAATATTCCTGAACTAAGAGTTTTGGTGGCAGAAAAGACAGAAAATTCCACTGGGAGATGTCTCTAAGGTGTTGTAAGAAGTTAGATCTACTAAAGTAATCATCAGGAAAATGTGTCTGAAGACAGTATTTCTTTTTTTTTTTTTTCCCCTAAATGATTTTTTCTAACTGGTTATTACTGGGTTTGTTTTTATTTTTGAAGAAGGAAAAGAAAATTATATTCTTGTAGTGGTAGGCTTATAAAGGAGAAAAGGGTTAGTACTTAACTTCTGTCAAGATTGTTGAGTGAATGATACCCTACGTAAGGGTGAGAGAAGTGCAAATCTGTATTCTCAAGGAGGACAAGCAGAAAGTCTAAAACCTTTTGACATGTATTGAAGGAAAACAGGAAGATGTTCCTATAGAGGCTAGGCTATAGTTGAGATAAAATTATTAAATAAAAGAAAACAGCAGCTACAGAACATACTTTTAAGATAAAAAGGTGTTTCTTATTGACTAGAGTAGTCAAAAGGGCTAAGTAAAATGTTTTCTTTGTGTTTTTGAAAAATATAAAAGCTCTACTTGTAATATGAGCAGTGAAATTAAGGAACACTCGATGATTAAGAGGACTAGAGATTTCTAGACACTGTATTGAAAATCTTTTGATAAGGAAATATAGAGCCTGGCCTGGGAGCTTTAAGAAGTAAAGCTTGTTAGTGCTATGAAGCAGATGTGTTGAAAGGTCTATGGAAGTGAGTTTGCTTCACCTCGAGGAGCCTGTATTTTGTCTGCTGAAGAGAGTTGCAGGAACACCTCCTAAAAGGAACTTTTCAGCGCAAAGTAAGGTGCAGGTGAAAATCTTGTATTTCTGAAACAGCATTCTGAACTGGTTCCTGGTTCTGTTTTCTGCTTTCTTCTTCTCCCAAGGACCCTCTTCATCTTTTTCTGCACAAAGCAAAGCTGACCCTATAGCTTTTGTCGGATCTGATGTGGGACAGCAGACTGTACATTTATTTATTTATTTATTTATTTTCATGGAGAAAGTAAGCAAGAATGAGCAAGCATATTTAAGGGGATTATGGACAGTAATGTTTTCCCATTTTTACATCTTTTTTTTCTTTTTTTCCCCAAGCTTAATATGACGTGAGAATGCCTACAATCTTTTTGATGAACTTTCTGTTGCACCTTGACAATGTTCCAAAGAGGGCCTCTTTGCTGTGAATTCCTTGAACTTACATTGTTACCCCATCTCAGTTATGTCTTGGGCACAATATGCAGTGTGGGCTGTATTTTGGTTTAGATGTTCCCCAGAGCTTTACAAATTAAAGAAATCAAACAATTGCCAGAAAAATAATTTTACAATGCACGATGTACCATTTTTATTTGTAAGAGTTACTGTTAACTACAAGGAGCTGCACAAGTATGATGTAATTTTTACAGAAATCATTCTATGTGATGGTGAAAAATGAAAAATTCTTTGATTTTGAAGCCACTGTTTGAGGGTCTCACCCTAAAATTTCATCAAGGGATTTCTTTGTTCAGCCACTCCAAAATTCATTATTTGCTATAGGAGTTACTGAAGGTTAAACTTGGCGTGAGCATTTGAAGGATTTAAAAGCACAGCATCCTGTAGATGAAATAGAGCAATAAAACCCTGCATGATTACTGAATCAATATTATACCGTTTCCTGTATGCTGAATTCCTTCATTTATGGTGAAAAATGCATCTGTTTGCTTCTTATCTTCAGTAAATATCACACCTGTTTTTTTACCCCTCCTCTTTCGTCCTCCCTCTGCATCTCCTCCCCTGTGACAAAATCAATTGCATCAGTGGATAATATAAAAAGAAGAGTTTTCAGTGGAGTCGTCCATTCCCACCTTAGCCACCATGGGGCTAAGAGCGGCCAGCCTTCTCGTACTCTGGCTGGCTCTTTCCCATGCCTATGAAATAAAAAAAGGTAAGCTCTAGAAATGAAATGGTAGCAGACTGCCTCCTGGAAAAGAGGGAGAGAATTAAAATAGCACTGCAGAGGTAGAAGGAGGCAGAGCATTTAAATAATGCACTTATATAATGCGGTTTTAGGATGCTTTAAATTTCTTAAGCTTTCAAATACTGAGGCAGCATGGCTCAGACAACAGAGGTAGATATTGCTTTCTTTGGAGAGATTAGTGCCTCCATCTACTGCATTGATGCCTAGTTTGATGTGCTTGGAAAATATTTTCCCTGTTACTTTTCTTTCAGTCTGTTGAGTCTTTCCGAGGTTTGGCAACTACTTTGCAGAAAGCAATTGTAGGAGTTTGAGAGGATCATTGTTACAGCAATGAGGGAGGTGGATGACTGTGCCTTCTGTTACTTGGAACAAAATAAATTCTTTCTTCAAAAGGGAATGGAGTAAAATTGGACAAAGCTAATTTTGCCATTTAGGACATCAATAATCCTCCTGTAAAAGCTCTAACTTACTCTACTTGTTATCAACTTTGAAGTGTTAAAGTGGAACACTTATACTGAAAACCAAAAATTGTTTTTTAGGGGAATAGGTGATGAATTTTGTCCAGTGGTCAGGTTTGGGGTATTGAGCTTGGTCTGCTGTGTCTCGAAATCAGCAATGAGAGGAAAGCATTACCTTGCATTGGTATCCCAGCTGTGAGCTCTGTGAGAATCTCTGTGCAGCCTTCCATCTGGGGAGAGAAGGATACCAGCTTGTCTGGATGTATCTGGAATGATTGATACTATCAAAGTACAGTAACCTAGAGGTTGCCTTAGCAGTTTTGCTTTCTCATATTAAACAGTGGAAGAAAATCTCGTGAAGATGAGAGACATATCAAGTTTCCCATGGATGCTCAGCTTTTATGATTCACAGTACCTGGAGGATTTATTAGATTTTGTGCTAATTTGTATTATTAGTCAGTATAGATGGTGGGGAAGGGAATAAATAGTCTGCAGTTTTGGCTATTGCAAAAACTTGATTCTTCTTCCTATCATGGTTATCTTCTGACATATCTTCTGAAGAATTTCTATTCTGTAGTGATAGAAATCACTACTGCTTTTAGGAAAAGAAATAATTCCCTAAATCTCCTATTGTGCACAAGTCTTTTCATAATATTTAAACTATTTGCCTTCCAGAGTAGGTGACGCTTTCTTGACTGTTTTTTTTCTAGTACATGTTGATCAGATACTTGATCAGGCTTGAAATCTGTGGAATCACAGCTGAAAGTGATTTCTACTGTAAATGGAACCCTTACATTTTTTACATTAGCTCGTTTATTGCACCTTTTTCATGTCTATTTCTTGTCATCACTAAACAGGACGGACAAGAAACCATGGCCACTATGTCTGCAGCACTTGGGGAAACAACCATTTCAAAACCTTTGATGGTGACATCTACCAATTCCCTGGCGTTTGCGAGTATAATTTTGTTTCTGACTGCCGAGATTCTTACAAGGAATTCTCTGTCCACATCCAGCGTGCCCTGAACAGCAATAACCACCCTGAAATCCAGTATATTCTGATAAAAATCAAGGATATCACGGTGTACCTCAAACCAAAACTGGTCGTGGTGGATGGGCGAATGTAAGTTCCTTTAATATGAGTATTTCAGAAAAAATGTGCTGGGAAGATAAAAGCAAGTTTGATTCTTTACACAGCTGTCTGTATACCATTATGGTAACTTCTACAAAGCACTTCTACAATCAAAAAAAAAAAAAGCCTTTTGAAATCCAGCATAAAAATTATTTTGTGGAGGGCTTTAGTATTGTTACTCCTACACTTATACAAGGGATTATTTAAATGAAAGTCAGGAAGAGGTGTTTGAGTGAATTGTTTTTCCAGTTGTGCAGGAAACAATGCAGGTCATGAGCCAGATCTTTCACTGGCATAAAATGACATAGCTTCATTTGTTTTATGGCATCACCCTGAGTTTACCTTAGCAGATGCTCTAGCAAATCCCAAAAAAGGAAATGCATTTCTCTCGGGTCTTTTCCCCTTCTTTTGTGACAGTAGAGTGGTGGGTTTTTTTCTGATCTTCATAAATAGTTCTTTAAGATCCAATGGCCATTCCTCAAGGGATTTTAACAGATATAACACAGGTCAAAATTTACAGTAATTTATATGTGGCAATATGTACTTTTTCACAGTAAGCAGTAGTATTGTTCTCCTTCTGTAACATGGCCACACAAGAAACCAGTCCAACATCATTACTGATGCCAAGTACTGTCTTAACCCAGCCTTTCCTATCATTAGCCCAACCTTTCAGTGTGTGTACATATACTCACTGAAACAACTGAAGCAACTCATAAATTAGGAAATAGGGCTGAAGATTCTGAACAAACTGGCTATTACTAAGTTTTAGTAAAAACTGGCTATTACTAAGTTTAAAAAAAAAAAAACACCTAAATCTTTATAATTGTCATTGTGGGACTTGGTTTAGCCCAGATTTCAGCTTTTGCTCAGTTTGGAAGCCACTACAATGAAAATATGGTTGAAAATAACATCCAGTATTCCAAAGATCATACCAGAATGCATAAAAAATGGACAGAAATATTTAAAAAATGCATTGTTTCCCCCATTTGGAAAAGCTTTTTATTGGGTTCTCAGGTCTTGAACTCAATAAAAAGCAAGTTTAGAAATCCTTTAAAAATTGTTTCTTTTAAACCTCTTTTTGTTCTTAGATAGTGTTTATAAACCAGTAGATCACTTCTGAATAGGTTTTTGCTGCATGGGGAATTTAGTTTTTTGTAAAACTAAAGTTTCCATATTGATCTTTAAATGATATATGATCCATTTTCAAGTAAAATAGCATTTCACAGTACTAAAATGAAAAGTGTAAAGTAGAAAATATATGAATTTGCCTTATGGTACCTAATTGACTGATGGAGTGAATGTTCTAATATTAGGAAAAAAAAGATAAAATATTCCATGTGGTGGTAGCTGAAAGTTGAAAAGATGCCCACTGTTTTATAATCCATCTTGAATAACATAATTTCTCAAGAATTCATTGCCCAGAGGATGAACAATGCATTCAAAAGTAGAAATAATTGTTTCTGTGTTTGCACCTGGTATTTAGATGTGTAAGTCATTTGGCCATGTTAAAAATGCTTGAGGTAAATAGTTGGAAAAATACCAGTGAAGGGAATTCAGGAGACAAAGTCAAGAGACTAGTTAAGAGGAGATGTGCATACACATGCATGAATACTGATGGATAGCAATTATATTGACAAATCTGTAGAAAATGAACCAGTTATTTTGACTGGATTTCACTTTACAGTACTTTTGTTTGAACATTTTATAGGATGAGGCTGCTTACCGTAATCCCTTTATTGCTGAATGAAATTCAGCAGTTCCGTTTGATTTGTAACACGGACACACAAAAACAGGAGAGAGATGGGGTGAATTGATTCTTTATCACACAAAAATATCTATGCTCAACCCTCTGCAAAGTATATTCTGTCACCATTAACAAGCTCGGTCCTGTCAATGAAAAACTAAGTAACTAACTACTGAAATAACTACTGAATTCCTCTTAAAATGCTCCTTTGTTTTTAAAATTTGTTGGCAATCCCTGTATCTGCCTGTGCTTTTTGAACTCTCTTGAGGAGGAAGTTCCTTCCAAAGGAACGATCATTCTGTCTGAAATGGTTATCAGATCTTTTGGTAAGGAAAAGCTTTCATTTATCTTGTAGCTTTTTTTCATTGAAGTAAATTTTTAGTGAATGTTTGAATATCCTCTGTTAATACCACAACGATGATGGATTTTCCTCTGATTAAGTTGAAGACATCTGACATTTTGCTTTTTTTTTTAATCAAAGAACCTGTACCCTTGGGTAAGCTTTGCCTATGAAATAGCTTTGCCTTTTAAAGGCAATGAGTTATTGTCCCAAGTGTCAGAGAGAGATATTTTGTGCCTCATTAAAACAAGGCATCCTGTGCAGCCAGGATGAGGTAGTCAGAGACTAGTTTCTCTGTTCCTTAGGGTATTTGGCTTATTACAGACATTCATGTCAGGCCTTATGTTTCTGAACTAATGTAAAACCTCTAATTTTCCTCCTAGTGTGAAGACACCTTACTACAGCTCTGGTGTGCTCATTGAGAGCAACGATGTTTACACCAAGATTTATGCCAAATTAGGCATGGTTCTGATGTGGAATCAGGAGGATGCACTGATGGTATGTTTAATCAAAGTATTTTTTATTGGTATTTCCAGGGGTATTTCTCTATCCCAGTAGAGAAACAAAAAAGGAGGAAAAAAAAAGATAATTCTTTTATGTTTTTCCTCTTTCTTTACATTACTTAGGTGGAGCTGGACGACACATTCAATAACCTTACCTGTGGCCTCTGTGGGGATTACAATGGAATTCCAATCTACAATGAGTTTATCAACGAAGGTGAGTCATTCTACCATACTGACAGTTGTCACAGAAGATAGGCTGACAAGCCTTGTACATAGAAGCATCACAGGAGAGCAGATTTCACTTGAGAGATTTCTGTGATTGCCTCAGACTAAGCATCATGTTCCAGTGCTGCATTGCTGGTCTAAGGTTATTTTATTCCAGGTGAATCTTATTGCTCTTTTCTCAATTAGCCTTCTTTTCTTTCTTCCCTTTTAAATTTTTAAGCACTGTTAAACATAATTCAGAGGAGATACCTGTGTCTGACAGGTGTATTTGACACCATAGTAACTGTTTTCCTTGATCAGAAGAATCCTATGAATTAGATGCTCCTTGTGGTCAATTTTTGGGGCTCAGCAAGTTCTCCAAATTTTTTTCTCACAGATGCAAGCTACAATTCAATTACCTATGGAAATTTGCAGAAGATCAACAAACCCAATGCCAAATGTGAAGATCCAGATGAAACTCAGGCTCTTCCAAGCTGTAACAAGCATGTGAGTATTCCCTACTGGTGAACTTCACTTGCATGGACACATCCTTGTGCTATGGGAAGTTAGTGGCAAGGAGCTTGGAAGGCAGTTGAACCCAGGGCCAATGGTTACTTTTCCTTTCTTGAATAACCGTTCAGAAGACATCAGTTTTTATGCAAGATAGGAAGTGACCAGGAGCTCAGATATTTGCAAATCTCTCAAACGTGATTACTCTTTCTCCTTAGCGTGATGAGTGTGAGAGGCTCCTGACTTCCTCTGCATTTGCTGATTGCCGGTTCCGCCTTAATTTGGAAACGTACATCCAAGCCTGCATGCAGGACAAGTGTGCCTGTAACGGAAACGAGGACTCCTTCTGCGTCTGCAGCACCGTCTCTGAGTATTCTCGCCAGTGTTCGCACGCAGGGGGCCGGCCGGGTGAATGGAGGACGCAGCAGTTTTGCCGTAAGCAACGACACAAATTTTACAGAGACCCAAATATTTCATGGATGTAGCACCACGAACATTTAAATTCATCACTGCTTTACAAAGCATACATTATAAATTTCATTCCAGTAGTACAATAAATTACATAATGTGTTCTCCCTGTTTTTTTTCTTCTATTATCCTTGTCATTAAGAAATCTTTTTCAGGAAGCAGAAATTCAGTTCCCGTTATAAGACTGAGAGGGCTGATGCTGCAGATGAGTGAGACAATTTGATCTGTTTGAAACCAAAAGAAATAAATTTATGAAACAGAGAAAGCAGTTCAGAAATAGATGAACATGCTTTGCCAGGTGGAGTCTGGCTTGAGACATCACTGACTTGAGGGGAGTAGAGTACGTGATCTGAGGAATTATGGATTTTCCACTCAAATAACCCCTGGTGTCTTTCTTATTCTTTCAGCCAAGACCTGTCCTGACACCATGGTCTACAGAGAAAGCAGCTCACCCTGCATGGATACTTGTTCACACTTGGACATCAGCAGCCTTTGTGAGGAACACTACATGGATGGTTGTTTCTGCCCTGAAGGCAAGTGTTATTCTACCTATTGCATGTGGAACAAAACCAAGAGCTCTGGCAAAGAAGATCATAGCTAAAATATTAAATATAGTCAAATTATATCTTAAAAATGAGTACTGCTTTCCTTATTTTCCCTCTAGGGGAACATAACTGTAAGATTTTTTTTTTTAGACAGTCATAATTGATTAATTAGTCAATTATTTTATAATTTGAACATATTAACACAATACCTTGTAATAAATCTGCTTTTTAAGTCTCAACAAGTCAACTTCTGATAATATATAGAAAATCAGCCTTTTTAGGTTGAATAGTTCTGAGGCAATGGACATCATTTACCAGAGTGTCAATAAGGCACTGAGATTGAAATTCTCAGATTTACTGTCAACCTTGGGAAAGATTACAGTGATACTCTTCAGAATATGACAGAAGGACTGAAAATCTAAACATATAACATTCTGAGATTGTTCTTATATACTTACAGTAAGCTTTTTTGTCTGTGTATAGTTCTATAAATGAATAGATTTGGATTTTCAAAGTTGGATAAAAGTGTTTTCCATGTGTCTTATGCTACAAAAAGTAGAAGCAGTATTCTTCACAGTTTTGATAAACTCAATGGCAAGTTGAGAGTTTCTCCTCTGTGGAAATTGCTTGTTTCAAAAGGAGCTGAAATAGTTAATGTTGTGCTTTATAGGAACTGTGTATGATGACATTACTGGAAAAGGCTGCATAGCTGTTAGCCAATGCCATTGCAAACTCAGTGGAAAGCAGTATGCACCTGGAGAAAGCATTTCCAATGAATGTGAAGAATGGTAAGGATCCTGGTTGTTTATCAGCTTTTCTTTGAATGATTGTAAGTGGGTCTGGGTTCTTCAAATTTCCACATGATCATAAGAGACATCCTGAAAACATTCTGAATTAATGTTTGTGTTGCATGTCTATAGAACCAGATTTCTGTAAAGTTTTCTTGAATCTATGGCATATGCCAGGGCAAATCTTAAGGAAATGGTCAAAGATACAGTTTTAAATCACCTGGGGATATCTTACTGTTTGCTAGGTATGCTGATGCTTTCAGTGCTCTCAGCTCCTGTAATACCTAAAAGCATTTTTTTTAATTATTATTTGTCTGTTTATAGCACCTGTAATTCAGGCAGATGGACGTGCAAGGATTTACCCTGCCCAGGCACATGTTCAGTGGAAGGAGGTTCCCATATTACCACCTTTGATGGGAAGAAATACACCTTCCATGGAGACTGTTACTATGTATTGGCCAAGGTACTGTGTCCTGTAGGGCTGTTCTCTTGTAGAGTATATACAAGTGTCTGTGGGCTGATATGTAACAGCTGTGGGTTATTGTTTTATTTCATGGGGGTAAGGGAAGCAGAAATGCTCGAAGTTGTACTAGAAAGTTCAGGGTCGGCTGTAATAGCCCTAGGGGGAAGCTGGGGACTTATTGTGATGGGTGATTAACTCAGTCAGATAGAAGATGGTGTCATTATCCAGTAGAGTCCTCTGTGTATAAGACATCAAAAAGTCACTCTGGCTGCAGGCACAGGTAAACTGCAAAAATTGGCAGATCTCAGGATCAGAAATTCTCAGTCAGTTCTGTAAGAGCTGTTCCTCTATCCAAGCGTCAAAGTCAACTAGGGAAATGAGGTAGGCAGCTATTTCATTCATCTGTCCCTAAAATATCTAGTGACTGTTCTTCTAGAGAATGGCAAAAATCTTGTTGAGCTAGAAACCATACCTCTGAAATTATTTGAAAGAATAGCTGCAAGAACTTATGCTGACATGGTGGTCTAAATAGCTAAGGTTACTGTAGCAAGGTTACTGTGACAGATAAATTTTGTTTCTTTTTGTAAGTCATCTCTTGAGATTTTTGACTGGACTAATGGACGTTTATTTCCCTGTGATTGTAGGGTACTGCAAATGACAGCTATGCTCTCCTGGCAGAGCTGGGTCCCTGTGGCTCCACAGAGAGGCAGACCTGCTTGAAGACTGTTGTGCTGTTAGTGGATCACAAAAAGAATGTAAGTTTTGTTTTGTGGGTTCTGCTAGATATGTTGAAAATCGGCATATTTCCCTTATTGCGGAGGAATAGTTAATTCTTCTGGAGTTGTTATTGTGGATAGATAAGGCACCTCAGATAGGTTAAACAACAACTCAGGTTTCTGCCTCAAGAATCCAAAATAGACCTAAACTTAACAAAAGATGGGATTCAAAACAGCTGATGTTTCCCCCTCTTCACTCCTCTGCTCTATGCTATATGATTATTCTCACAGTATTCCGGGTGTCTGGAAGCAAGAATCCCATTCTTCTTCCACTCATGGTATTTTACTTTATTCAGATATAATTTTATAGATATTTTTCAGAAGAAATCCTATCTTTGAATGTTGATACCAATCCAACCTTTTCAAATATTCAATTTAGTATTCTGTTTGGTTGTGGGAATATACAGGTTGTATTTATACATAGTCTTACACACATGTACACATAATTTTCCTCATGTATTTCTGGACTTCCATGTCTTTGCCAGCATAACTAGAACAAAAGAAAACTGAATCAGAAACCAATAATTTTATGTTTCTGTGTGTATAGTCTAGCATTTTATGAGGAAGTTTAATAAACTGCTTTCTGACCATGCCAGAATCATTCTAAACCATTTTACTGAGCTGTGGCACATGCTTTTATAAGGAATAGGAACTTGCTACAGATCCTGAAGACCTAATCTTTTCTTTTACTTGTTGAAACCAGAGTGCCCAATATAAATGAGTTTTGTATTTCATTACTGCTGTAGGCAGATGTAAGTGAAACAAAACCATACTTGTATCCTACAGGTCTGCTGCCATTTAAATTTTCAGATGGTTTCTTCCTTTCAAAAATTTAAGGTTCTAGTCACAACCTAAATGTGCAAAAGGCCTTTCTTGTTAATTTCCTTTTCATTAGTTTGTTTTCCTCCCAGTACTTGGAACCTCATTGAATCTATTTGCCATTGTACAGGTGGTGGTTTTCAGATCCGATGGCAGTGTGCTACTGAATGAGATGCCAGTGAATGTGCCTCATGTGTCAGGTAAGTGACACAGCCTTGTACGTCCAGTGTCACACACCTGACTTCTCATGTAGGGATGTATTTTTCCCCAGGCAAAAGTGGAAGAGAGGCATAGGAAATTTATTCAGATTTAGGAACAAGTTGGAGATGAATGTGATTCAATAGCCATCTGAGGATTTCATGGAATCGCTGACTCTGTATAGAGTGGATGATTGAAAAAAATGTCCTTTCACTTTTTTCATACCTCTTGAATATACCTTGGCATGTAGCTTGGGAAAGAGGAATTGCCATGACCGAAATTTAAAGCAGATAATGTACCTTGCCTGTAAAGAGGGGTATTTAGCACTTTCCAACTCTGGTTACATGCTGTGGGCATGCCCGTTTGGTTCTGATCCCAGAGATGAGTCACTACAGGTAATCAGCTTTTTAAATTAGTAAGGACCAGCATCATACCTAGTTGGCCAGTGATTTTTAAAGGAAAAAAAATTAATTTCATCCTAGTCTCAGAGTTTTCATGACAGGTGATATCTTAGAATCTAAGAAAAAGTTTCTTCTGGCAACTTGTGTGTGTGTTTACTGCACAGTTCATGTTTTGTTTTTCAGCCAGCTTCTCAGTATTCCAGCCATCTTCCAACTACCTTGTTGTACAAACGTCTTTTGGGCTTCAGGTGCAGATCCAGGTGCTTCGAGTCATGCAACTGTTTGTGACTGTGGATCAATCGGCTCAAGGACAAATTCAAGGCAAGTGTCTATTCAAATAGGAAGCAAAGTCATGCTGTTCCACAGCTGAAGACTCATGTACTCTTTACATGACAGATAACTCATGCTACTTGTTGATTCAAGAAGAGCAAACTAAAAACAGAAACCAAATCATTGAAAGAAAATTGACTCAAGCAAACTAGAAATGTGGTTTTATTTTTTCACATTGAAATGATCTATCACTCTGGTGCAAGTATATAGGTATTTCTTAGAATATTCCTTACTTCTGTATTCAGTTTAATTTTTTAACTATCCACAAAAACAGGCTTTTTGTGTATTTTGTGTTTTCAATACCATCAGAAAGCATAAAATTACAGGTTGGGGTGGTAGTCTCCTGAGGCAGAGATAGCTTCATGAAGACTATTCTTCTCAAGAGATTGAAGATTTAAAATAGGGCTCCTTAAACTTCAGTATTAATTGTTTGCATCAATATTGAGGTGGAATAATCAGCTGTATGAACTTCTGTTTCTAGTGTTACCAGTTGTCCCTTTCCTTTGACCTTTTAATATGAGAATGAGTAATGATTATGTAAAATTTTTACCATCTTTTCCAATAGGTCTTTGTGGTAACTTTAATGGAATGGAAGGTGATGATTTTAGAACAACCAGTGGGCTGGTAGAAGCCACAGGATCTGCCTTTGCTAACACATGGAAAGCTCAGTCCACCTGTACAGACAGGGTAGAAAAGCTGGAAGACCCCTGCAGTCTCAGCATTGAAAGTGGTAAGTATAAGTCAGATGGTTGGCTTCTGCCAGAATGAGCAGTGTTTACTGGATATTACTGCAACAGGTGTGTTAAGAGTCGTAGTGTGGCCTTGAAGATTTCTTAGATTAATATCTGCAAGTATGTTCACATACATGCACTTCATTTCCCATCAAACTAAAGTGAAGGTTTAAGGGGTGATTGTAGAAGGGTCCTGAGCTGGAAGATTGGGAAGCAAGATCATTAATTTATATTATCTGTAAAGGCATTTTGTATTTCCTAGTATTGTTTATGCTTATGTTTAACTTGGCTTTATGGTACTCCAATGGAAAGGGTTGTCACAATCCTATGTAAACAAGTTGCAGCAGTAGGATACAGTATTTGGATTTTATTATTACGTGTTTCTGAATCAAAGGACAGAAATATATGTGCAAAGATTGCATGTCATTTCTCCACTCCCCAAAATGCACACAGTTTTCTAATTTGTATTGTTGCACTGTATTTATGTGCCAGCATAACTAGACATGGCACAAGGAAGATAAGGAAATGTGATGAATTTCTCCTTTTTTTTTGCAGCAAATTATGCTGAGCATTGGTGTTCTTTGCTGAAAAACCCAGAAGGTCCTTTTGCAAGATGTCACTCCGTCATTGATCCTTCAGAATACTATAAGGTATTGTAATCTTGCATTATTTTTAGTACTGCATTATTTCAGATGGTTAACTGTAGACATTTATCATTGTTCAAGTGTTTGAGACATTACCCAGTAGCTTGTCTGTAAGTGCTGGTGAACTCTTTGCATTGATTGACTCAAGCAGCGTAGCATGCAACCAATCTCCTCTGGTGAGATTTTTATGGGGTGCTGCTGAAGTTTGTTTTCTTATGTTTTGTATTTAATGAACATTTTAATTGGATTGGATATTTGGACTGAAAAGAATATTTAAGAGATACAAGTGTGCCCTGACTATCCTTAAACAGTAGATGCTACAAAGTCATGGAAAAAAAAGTTTCGTATATTGGTTGGAATGTAACACCAAATCATTTTCATGCCAGAATCTCCATGATTTTTTTCCCCCTGTGCTCATCAGTGTTGAGCATAAGTGAGGCTTACCTGAGGAGAAAGAAGAAATACCTAAGTTATTTCTTATATTTGGAACTCAGTCTGAGCTCAAATGTGAAAATCTTCAAAGATCTCGTTAATATTTTGCCATTATGATTTCTAGTTTTTGTGGATCTCTGCATTTCTAATTTGTAACTGAGAAAGAACGATATCAATATCTTTTGAAAAAGGTGTTGTCAGGAGGCTGGATATTTTTTAAAATTTCAAGATGTTTGGCTTAGGTTAGAGTCAGCATCCAAATATTTTCATTGTGTATGAAATGAAACAGCACTTTCAGTCTCTAGTCTTTGTCCATTCTTTGTCCGTTGTTCTCTGGTCATGAGAATTAATAAACAACATCAGGAGAAGCACACAAGATATTTTGTAGCAACCCAGTTGCAATTGCCCATTGGTTTCCTGTGAGCTTACTGACCCTTTCATGCCTTTTCTCAGAAATGTAAATATGACACATGCCTCTGTGAAGATAATGAAGAATGCTTGTGCGCTGCCCTGTCCTCTTATTCAAGAGCCTGTGCTTTCAAAGGGATCCTACTGGGAGGCTGGAGAGACAGTGTCTGCAGTAAGTAGTGAAACTGTAATCCCTGTGGAATTAATTAGCCATGAGAAATGAGCACTCTCTCTCTGAATTTGTTTAGTGATCTCAATGCTAAGGGATTTGGAGTATCTTAGAGATGTCTAATAGACCTACAAGAGACAATGCTTATAATGTTTACTATATTCTTTAGCTGTAATTTGTTCCTGACATATTTAAAAGTAGAAAGCATTATTTTTCACTTTCACCTTCTTTCCCCAGTTTAAATAATAATGTCATTTCTTTGATTAATGGAATCCCGGCCATCAGGGCTTTTCCACTGCCTTTCTTTATCAGTGTCTTTGTTTACCATCGTGCTAGCTTTTCATCAGCAGTGTGGTACTGTTGAGACTAGGAGTTCATTATATTGTGCTCTCTCTCTCTGATTATCAGTATGTGAAATAAATAGAGGTATGAAAGTAGAAACTATTAGTAACAGTTAAAAATAAGTCTTCAGTTGGTAAAGTTTGGTTAGTGTTGTCATTTCTGATGTTTTTGTACTTTAATAAAATCTAAGGGAATGTTTTTATCATTACATACTGCACAACCAAGGAAACCAACATGGAAATGTCGAAGTTAAATTGTCCATTCCGCATTTCTTATTTATCAGTTTGTTTATTTTCCCTCCAGGCAGTGAAGTGTCTGCCTGTCCAGGAAATCAAGTCTTCCTTTACAACATTACAAAGTGCCAGCAAACCTGTCGTTCTCTTGCTGATGGTGAAAAGTACTGCTTGCAAGACTTTGCTCCTCTGGATGGCTGTGGCTGCCCAGCTAATACATACTTGGATAAACAGGATAACTGCGTGCCCATCTCCGAGTGCCCATGTTATTACAAGGGATCATACCTGGAACCTGGGGAATATTTTACAAAAGATGGAGAACGCTGGTATGTTTTATTGTGGCTTCTTGTTTGTGGGGATAAAAGATTTTAAAAAAATTGCTTACTAGCTGTAAGGTGCTTAGCTTTTTTGGTACTTTAATGAACATTTATAATACATTTCACAACATCTTTATGCTGAGCAAAGTATTACCCTTTTGCAATATAATTTATCAATAACTGAGAAGTGCAGCTTGCTTTGGAGCTGTGGGTACTGGCCTTCACACATAAATGTTATTTTGAAGCTGCACTATTAATAGGGCTTTGTTAAGCAGAGGTATAAAAAGAAGATAGAAGGCCAACTATATGTTATGTTACTGTTTCCTTTTCTGGCAGAAACAGATTACTTGTATTTGCCATAGGAGGAAGGTCCCCTTCATATGTATTTAATCTAGCATTGGCTTTTGAAAACAACTTTCACGATTCTGTTGTGTTTTGCCATGAACCTTGGCAATTTTTTGCTGCCTGCGTCATTGGTGCAAACTGTTATTACATTCTCTTGCCCAGCAGAAGCAGCACACAGGCCAACAAATTTGCAGCATGAGTTGAATAGGCATGAAAATACATTGTGTACCCAAATGAAGTCTTTGATTTAAATTCTCATTTTTATCTGTTTCATTATTATCCGTTTCCTGAGTCATCAAACCTGGAATATTAAGGATTAACAAAAGGGCTGTCACTCCTTAAAACATAACCTTTCTGTGCATTAGACCTAAAATCTTGCTACACTTTTTCTCCAAGTGAAAATTCTTGACTGTGTTTGAAAAGAATTGACCTTGAAATATCAGTAGAAATTATGCAGAATATCTTTGATAAATACTCTCAAATTTATATAAACCAATTCGTAGACTTGAAGAAATTGAGCTTGGTTGCTTTTTTTTAAATGTTTGCTTACTTCACTTTTCTAGCATTTGCCGAAATGCAAAGATCCAGTGTGCCTCAGTGAAAATAAGAATGAAAAGTAAGTGACATTCTATAAAGTAACATAAAATAAAAACCATAACCAACCTTCAAACCCAAACTACTTTCCTTTTGAATTCTCCACTTACTTGTTTTGCATGGGTTTTTCCATGTAAAACGTTACACATTTTCCCTTTGTTCTCTCTTCACTGAGCTTCTTTTTTTCAAAAGGATAGAGCATGTGCTGAGATTTCTGTCTCAGTAACTACCACCTTTCACGCACATTTCTTTTACTTTTTTTTTTTTTTGACTGATCTAAGCCAAAAATATACCTTTCAGGTGTAGAAGAATGTTCTTCTAACAAGACGTTCTTTGACTGCAATGCATCCTCAAAGTGGACTTCACAAACACCTTTACAACTTAGCTGTCATACCCCTCAAACTGATCACGTATGTATTCAACTTTTCTTCACATCATGTTTTCTTTATTCTGTATTCTTTAAATGACAGAGTGCTACACAGAAAATACAGCTGTAACTAACAGTTTATTTCTCTTTGGTTTAATCTTCCATTTTTTTTCTCCCCATTGATGTTAATCTGTTGCCATTTCATGATGAGTCCCCTTATAGTTTCCCTCTCTTTGTTTTTGCTGTGTCTTCAGTAGAGTTGCAACTCCCAAGTGAAATAGGATTTGTGTTCTTAGACAACCAAAATAAAAAAGAAAAACATTACTAACCTAGAAAGAAGAACCTTCTAAACCTAATAAATATCAGGCTATTTGGTTATAAATGCAGTTTTTAAAGTGTGCTTGTGAAGAAGTGGACTTAAAATGCAGTACATCATCATAAGGTAACCATTTCTCCTTATATTCTTTAGTTCCAGACAGAGTGTGTCTCAGGCTGTGTGTGTCCTGAAGGTCTATTTGATGATGGCAAAGGAGGCTGTGTTGAGGAGAAGGACTGCCCATGCATTCATAACAACCAGTGGTATTCTTCTGGACAGAAGATAACAGTGGACTGCAACACCTGGTGAATTATAATTTTTAACTCTCCTCTAGAATATATTCTATGCAGTATATTAATAGTCATGTCTAGGCTTATGTATTACAGTGGCTGTGAAAACTGCAACTATCATCCTTTATTTTCAGGAATACTTATTGCTATCTGAGGAAATACAGATTCTGCTGAAAGTACTGGGGCAGTAGCTACGTTTGTTTTCAGTAGGCATCTCTTGTTGGGAAAATGCACTCATTTTTTAAATATAAATGCTATCTAAAGATTGTATCTGACCAGAATTAAAAATCATGTTACAGGCTTAAACGCAGGCAAAACTATTGAAATTGAGACTTGGATATTGTGCACGTTTTCATATTGTGTTAGGCAACTGCTTGGTTTGTCCTGCAGTTTTCCAAATGGCACACTCTTGGTGATATCTAACAATTCAACTTCTCTGCTCTTTTCTAGCACCTGCCAAAAAGGGGTTTGGAGCTGCACAGAAAATGTGTGCTATGGGACCTGTATGATATATGGAAGTGGCCATTATATCACTTTTGATGGGAAATTCTATGACTTTGACGGAAATTGTGAATATGTGGCTATTCAGGTAATGCTCACCAGGAGGGCTGAAATGGCATTTGATTGCCTTGAAGATCTACTTTCCTCTTTAGTTTTGTCATTCTTTATTGCCTGCCATCTCTGTTCCTGAGGTGTTCACACATTCTGCCAGGATAAATTGTGTATTTCCAGTGCAGGCAAGCTGTGTGAATGCCACTTTTTCTTCTGATGGAGTGGTCATAAATTATATGTAACAGAACTATTTTATAGTGAGAGCTAACATCTCATTATCAATTGTGAAATAAATTCAAATTCTAAGTTTAGAAACCAAAGGTACTTATAATTAAATACATATTTGTCAGTTTGTTTTATTGTCCTACTCTTTTTCCCAGGCCAACACACTGTTTATATGTATGCAGGGAAATCTGTGTATATGATTGTGAGTCTGTAAAAATATATGTATGTAGGATCTCACATTTGAAGGAGCAGTAATGATTGCAAGACTTAAATGATTGTAATTATTATACCATTAAACTAAAACGAAATATTCTACCTAATGTTCTCATGCTTATTTTTTTCTTTTTCAATAGGATTTTTGTGGTGACAAAAATTCCAGCGGCTCATTCAGCATCATCACAGAGAATGTCCCTTGTGGAACGACAGGAGTCACCTGCTCAAAAGCTATCAAAATGTTTCTAGGGGTGAGTGATAATACTCAGTGAGTATATATCAGTATTCAAGTATTACCAAAAAGGTAATACTCCAAAGCCTCATCCCTAAAAGCAGCTGTAAGCAGTGTTAGAGGCCATATCAAATTAATCTCTGAAGATGTAGATTCTTTACAAACCTCTCATAAACACAAGTGCTGCACCACTCGTCATCTTGGAAAGTCATCCCAGACATTAAGCTATTAGTGTCAGAAAGAATTGTATTGTTATGAGTGCCTAATGTTTCCTCTCATCATAAAAGTTACTGTTACAATATTTCTCTTGTTATCTTTCAGAAAACTGAACTGAAATTGGAGAACAAAGAGTACAAAGAAATTCAGCGAGATGTTGGTGATGATGTGGTTTACTGGAACAGGACAGTAGGCCTCTACCTCGTTATTGAGGCTAGCAATGGTGTGATGCTTATCTGGGATAAGAAGACTACTGTTTTCATCAAGCTGAGCCCCGACTACAAAGTTAGGACCTGTCTGTCTTTTTCTGAAGTAGAATTATGAATAGATAAGGAAACATTAATGTTCTTTTATTCTGATTCCGTGTTTAGTTCCTATATCCTCTTCCCATTGATTAGCTTGCATTATTACTACCACAACTTGCAGAGGTGCCACTGGGGTTTCTTACAGTCTATCACAGTGGATTGCAGAGAATGCATAGCATAGTACTGCAGTAGAGCTAAACATCTAATGAACTCTGAGTTTGTGAACACTGACAGCCAACTATCTAAAGTAATTTAGGGATGCAAACTGACAGGAAAAGCACTTGGAAATCTAAATGCAATCTCAGCCTTTTGTTTAAACCAAACTCCCTATGCATTGTATGGAGATGGTTGTGGTTTCTGAAAATCACCATGCTGAACTGGAGAGTATTGAGGCATCGTATACACAAGGATGTACTATATCTTGAGGAGCTGATGGACCTTAAATAGCACTACCAAGAATTCACTACTGAGGGTAGATTGCAAAGTGCTTTCTTTCAATTAAAATGTGTCCCTGTAATTTCTTTTCCATGGATGAGGAAATAGTGCTCGTTATGTTAGAGGCTTTTTAAAAAAACATTTTTGAGGTGAATTGAATTACCTCAGGCTTATATTAATAGCTGAGCTATGATAAATGGAGAAGAATGGAAAATAAATTAATTCTTCTCAGCTGAAAAAGGCTTGGACACTCTTTAGTGTTTGAAGTGGATATGGAGACAGAGATAAGGAATATATACACTAGATATAATTGGTTTCAAGGAAGGAAGACATGGCAACTGAATAATTTACTGAGTCCACAGAAAAATAAAAATTTATTTTCTGTGCAAGTGATTTGGGAATAAAGAAGAAAGTGATAATTTACACAGACAGTCAGCTGTCATTTTTAATGTCAGTGTTTTGCTCTTACTTTACCAGACCCTGTTTCTCACTTCCATGGTATATCTAAAAACTGTGGATATGTCAATTTTCTTTTCAAGGGCAAAGTGTGTGGTCTGTGTGGCAACTTCGATGACAAGTCAAACAATGACTTTACAACAAGGAGTGGACTGCAGGAGCCCAATGCTCTGAAGTTCGGGAATTCGTGGAAACAGTCTCCCATGTGCCCAGATGTCACACAAGAGATTAGGCCTTGTGATATGAAACCACATCGGAAGTCCTGGGCAGAGAAAGAATGCAGCATCATCCAGAGCGAAGTCTTCAAAATTTGTCACTCCAAGGTTTGTAGAAGGAAGTAGATGATGGGACAGCACAGTGCATTTCTGTTACTGCAGCAGCAGGAGACCATGAGAAATTAATGAAGAGATGGTTAAAGAGAGTGATCTTGAATTAAGTCTTCAGTACAGCTACAGGTGTTAGCACATTTCAGCAAGCCTTAGTCAAAGTAGGCTGAGCCTCTGTGGCAATGGGACTGTGTCAGTAGTGGTGGCAGCCCCAGCTGTACAAACCCATACTCATCACCACAGCTTCACTGCTACTGCTTTGCAAGTCAGCTTCATAAATCTAACGTCTACGTCTGTGTTTGGCTGCAGTTGCACCACCTCTTGTTGAGAGACAGACAGTATTATAAGTTCTGAAAGACCTTGCAGTCATCAGACCCATCTCCTGACAGAAATGCATACTATACTTGAAAGGGTGCTGGTGAAGAGACTACTGCTTTTTGTAGTATTCAATCCACAGAAGGGAACTCCTTGGAGACCACTGACATCACGCAGTTTAGACAGGCAGCTGCTGGTACTGTGCCTCCAAATGGCCATAGCATACAGAGTTTGTTCTTAACTCACAGTAGAAAAGTCACAAATAATTGTCAATTTGTTTAACTTATTATATGTTTCCATGTGGATCACTTCAGCACCTAAAATCCAGTCTAAGTTTCTCCTCTTGCAATCCCAGGCAAAAAAATGCTTTGCTAATTTGTCATTGGATACACTTCAAATACTGACAAGCACAAAATTATCTACTTCATATTTGCTGTGTAGAGCAGCCTTTTTTACACTGCTCACCACTTGGTTGGCAAAGCTTGACAGAAGAAAAGAATTCACTGGCATCATTTCAACTTGGATTTGATGGCACTAAAATGGAACTCTGTTAGAAAATGTGGGCACTGCCAAGGACTTTTAATTTTTTCAGTCATAGCAAATTATGAAGGTGCTGTATTTTTAAGTCTATTATTACCCAAAATATATCGAGCAGCTTCAAGCCTGTAAATGTTTGTTTGTGATTTGGTAATTCTTAGAAACAGTCTCATTTCTGCTCAACTGAATTCCCATGTCTCAAGAGCTCTCAAACTTATTTGTAAACTAATCTGGAGATGAACTGGGACATCATTTCTTTCCCCCATAGGTGGACCCAGCTCCTTTCTATGAAGCTTGTGTTCATGATGCCTGCTCTTGTGACAGCGGTGGAGATTGTGAGTGCTTCTGTTCTGCAGTTGCTGCTTATGCCCAAGAATGTGCCAAGGCTGAGGCCTGTGTTTTCTGGAGAACTCCTGATATATGCCGTGAGTAACAGTTAAACACAACTGTATCTTTTTAGCTGCTGTCAGAAAGTCAGTCAAATAAATCATTAATATTATCACTGCAAGGTCATGCTGCCAGTGAAATTTATGTTCACAGCCTATCAGGGAACAAACAAGACTAGTAAATTTGTATATTTCAATTGTCTTTTATGCAGCCTGGCTTCTTTCCTTTTCTCCTTTTCCCTTTTTCACTTTTCCCTCTTTCCCCTTTGTCTCTCTTCTCCTTTTCTTTTTTGTTTTCCTTTCTGTTTCAAGTCATCCTTCCAATTGATAATTGGTGAACTGCAACTCCTGCTATCTTTTTCTTCTCACATTTCTTCAAATTATTCAGAATTTGATTTTAGCAAAAAGTATGTAGCACTCCTGTGTAAATGAACCTAATCAATGTTGTGTATGTTAATCAGTGTCCATTAGTGGTGCTAATACTCACAACAGTACATCATAAAATAGTGTAAAATAGTGTTTCAATATTACCCAAAAAGTACTCAAATCAAAATTTTGAGAATGGCAGAAATATAAAATTTCTTAATTTTAAAAATCCATTTTCTTTCAGAATTAGGACTATTTGTTGGTTTTAAGTGTAAGGAGTCAGTGAAAAAAAATTATAAGTTTCAGTCAGCTCTGATATATAAGTTAGTAAAAGCTCCTCTGTCCATAGTCATCTCAGGTGAATTTAAGCTGTATCCATAATGGCTCATATGCTTGCTCTTGACCCGCTGCAGGTGACTCACAGGCTATGTGATACAGCAAGATGGAACTATTTTGTATATACTGCAAAAAGTTTTAGGAGTTTGCTAGTAGAAATCTTAGTCACCAGAGGTTTGATGTATCCTAAGTTTAAGCACAGTAGCAGAAAGTCCAGGTCCTATACCTCAAGAGAAATTTTGGTGGCTCAACACGTAAATTTATTTAGCTTGCGCCTTTAAAGACCTGATCAGAACTGCATTCAGACAACCCTGTTTTTAATCAGCTTCTCTTTTTTCCCATCAGCAATATTCTGTGACTACTACAACCCTCGCAATGAGTGTGAGTGGCACTATGAGCCTTGTGGCGGTAATATCATGACCTGCAGGATGATTAATAATGTCAGCACCAACTTTTCAGTACCATACCTGGAAGGTAATAAATTCCTTGCCATTTTTGTATCCTGTTTTGTATAACTTTGTGTAACTTTTAATGAGTATGGAATAACCAGTCAGCTTGATGAGATGTTCCTAAATCTGCTATGTTTAATTTGTCTCCAGTCTTACATAAATATTTCCTATGATTGAATTTATTTATTGACATCAGTGGGTGATAGTTAAAATGCTGTCAGCCATAAAACAAGGTCTCTGCTTGGGTAATATCCTCCTACATGCAAGATTATTACACCACAGTTATTTTGCATCTCTTCCTAAGGTTTTTCAAGGAAGGAAAAATCTTTTATATGGCAAAGAAGCAAGTTTCTGATAACTGGGTTTTTTTAACCTTATATATGCATCAACTTATAACCTATTTATGCATCATATCATCTTGATTTTACGGGATTAATGTGCAGCATTCTGCTACCTGTACCCTGAAAAATATCTTTGATATAAGACACACGGATGCTGCTATGTATTGGATTCTTAATGGAGCTTCTATTTCATTTGTAGATGCCATATTAGTAGGTGAAAGTCCTTGTGCTTGACAACTGAAAAGGAATTTCATGTTATAGTGATTGCATTGATCCAAGAATGTGAATGACTTTACTAATGTCTTCTGTTTTACCACATGGTAAAGCTGGAGAAAACAGTCACATTTTTGGCTATGCAGTCTTTTTGATCTGGACTGGAAGCACTTATCTCCGGTTTAGGGATTGAAAAGAAATGTCACAAACTTGATCTTGCTTTGAACTGCTGTTAAAAAAATGAAAAGAAAAGAAACCACAAGACAAAACTCAAGGGGGAAAAAAAAAAACCAAAACAAAAACCAACACCAAACCCCCACCAAAAATTCCTAACCAAAATATTTTTTAAAAATCAGCAAATGTTTTAAAATAGATTGCCTTAGACTATTAGAAAGATTTGAAAAGTGTCAGAAGGCAGATTATTATATAGCCAATTCTCTTTCTAAATTATTTTTGTTGTTTATCTTCAGTAGAAACGTAGAGCCCACCTACTTTTGTTAGGACATCTTTATTACAGTTTGGCAGTGTGATGTGACTTTAAGTATCAGTTAACTATGCAGTACTTCAGTTTAAAGGTTATTTAGAACTCCAGGGCAGTATAAAGAGGATTTCATAAGAGTTTATTTGGAGTCAGGACACATTAAATAATATTTTTTAAAGTGTATTTATATGAAAAATGCAGTGAGAATTGACAGTTGATTAATCCCTTGCAGTGGAATTTGGATGACTGGCCAAGGGTATGGAAAAGTGCAGATAAACTATCACTTTGAGGTGGAGATACCTGGTCTGCTAAAGGCACATAAACAAGTTCTAGTGTTACAATAAATGTATTAAAACCCCTGTCTGTTAGAGAATTTGCTTCCATATTCCTCACAAAAGTGTTGTTGATGTAGTGATCTATAGAAAAATTAGGATGTTTCTTTGTCTTAAACTTACTAGCTGCCCACAGAAATGAATGTAAATTAGGGGGTTCTCCAAGATTTTGAAATAGGTAGGAAAAAATAACTTCCCTGGTTTTCATTACAAAACTCTGACTCAGTCCTCCTCACCCCAGTATTTTCAGTGAAAACCATTTAAGTCTTTTGGAAAGTTCAAGCATTGATTTGAATTGTTTTTGATTTCTTTCACTATGCTTGATTCAGTGAGAATCATTTTCCTTCAGAAGGTAGCCTATCACCGAGTTAACTTTTTATACTTTTTCTTCTTCCTCTATACCGTTCTACTTGTCATCAACAGGTTGCTACCCCAGATGCCCTAAGGACAAGCCTATTTATAATGAAGAGACAAAGGAATGTGTGCCTGAAGATCAGTGTTGGTGTTACATCGATGGAATTCAAGTTCCCCCTGGGCATGAAATACCCACAGAAGAAAACTGTACAATATGGTATATAAAAATTACAAAAACTCTTGCAGTAATTCAGGAAATAATTTATGTATGCTAAGTCCCTCATTTACTTTACTGGGCTTCAAGCAAATAGAGATTCAACTTCAGTTGAAGAGCTGATATATTCTTGCATTTCATAATTTTCCATAATCATCCAGTTTTCTGGTTGGTAGCCTTGTTATAAGTGTGTTAACAAATTCATTATTATTATTATTATTCTTTTAAGCAACATAAATGCCATAATGACATGAAACCTGGCTGAGTCTCTAGAGCAACCTTTTGATTCACGGCTCTTTGGGAAGAGAGGGACAACTCTGCTTTGCATTCTCACTTAAAACTGGGCTTCCAACATCACTGTAACCTGAAATACTCTATACTAGCCCTGAAAGAGATACTTGAGTCCTAACAGCTCAGTCATAGAGCCTTGTTGATGATAGCACTTATCCTGCTGGCTCCACATGGTGACCCTTTCTAGCTGTAAGTTCACTGCTCTGAAAAGCAGTTGTTATTGTACTGTCACAACTTGCAACACGATGTGCTTCATGACAGTTTTAAAATGTTGTACTTAAAGAATGAAAGTGAGGATGTAGTTTGAATGAAACGATGATAGGCAGTACTAGAGAATATTATATCCAGAAAAATATCCAGCAGTGTGAATCAAGATCAAGCGACAAACTTCTGTGTTTCTGTGCTCTTGGCTCTGCTAAGAGCTGTCATAAAACATCAGCAACGTTTTAATTTTTTAAAATTTTTCTTTTAGTGTCTGTGGCCCCTCAGGATCCATACAATGTAAACCAGTTACAGGTAAATAATGTTTGGGTTTTTCTACAAACAGTAATTAAAAAATGCATAGTTCCTACAAACAATAATTTTAAAAATGCATAATTTAAACAATGCATAAATAATTTAGAAAACTGCTAGGTCTGACTCTACAAAATACTTAGTATTGATTTAGAATAATTCTCTCCAGTGCCAGTGAAAGTTCTGAACAAAGAAAATCGGGCAGTGTTTTTGTTGAATCTTGTTGTTAGTACTTCTTGTTCAACCTTTATGTCATGTTCCTTCAGTTTTTCTCCCCATCTCCTATGTTTGAACTAATGGATTTCACTACGAGGGTTTGCACTTCCAGAATATGTAGTTTATGATTATGGGAAAGTGTCAGATAGTAAATTACAATTATTATTTCTCTCAGAAAGCTTTAAAACTTAATTACTAAGTCTGTTCCTCCAAACGTTTTATGCAGGACTTGATTAAATATGTTCTCATGTTGCTTTAAATGTGAAGATAAATTAACACATTATATTAGATCTAAAATCCAGGTACAACTTTGAAAAAGCATGCCTAACTCATGTAAATGGCCTCTTTTCCATAACTATTTTGCCTTTGCCTCTTACCCAGTAGTAGAAAAATTGCACAGTAAAGCTCTTTCTTGCAGGGTGTCCTTGTGTCATCAATGGAACGAGTTATGAAGTGGGTCAGACTGTGGCACAAGTACAGGATGGTGACATATGTATAACGTACATTTGTGCAGAAAATGGTTCAGTAGTTCCAAATGAAATCTACCCTTGTCCAACACCTTCTTCACCTACAATCCTTTCAACCTCATTTCCCACCAGTACTCTTACCACCACAGGTAAATCTTCAACAAAGATGTTGTTTAAAAATTATTTTCTTTAAGAAAAATATTTTGAAATATTGAAACTATAAGTACATGGGTTTATAGATGACACAGATAGAGCAATACTTAGGACACAGGTAGAGCAATACAGTTTTATCACACTACAGTAAGAAAGATTGTTAACATTTTGAGTTGATTTATTTCTTATAGAAGAAATTGTAACTATAAATGTACAGGGTGCCTTCCTAACTCTGAGAAACATATTAGCATCTCAAATATCCTAATGGGGTAGTAGAAATTTTCTCAGTAGTGTCAGCAAAGAATTATAATTAGAATATTTAAACATACTATTATATTTTTTGAAAGCTTGCAAATGTTGGAGTAATCTCTTTTTGTTCTATTTCAGTTACCACTACAAGCCATCCAGTGACTACAAGTAAGTTTTAAAATGTCAGCGTTAAAATATGTCAAAGAAATATTTAAAGGAGGAATAAAATAAAGACAATCACTACAGAAAAATATATTTAAACCAAAAATAAATATTTCTTTATAATTCCAAAAGCGTGATTGGTATAGACAGAAGAAGAACCTTTAAATGTTTCAGCTTGGTGATTTTATTTTGATGGCAAAACTTCCAGCTTAAAATCCTGGTAATATAGAACCAATTTTAGAACTCTTTTCTTTGGAAAGATGACAAATTACAATGCATTCCTCCAGTCCTTAATGGAAGAAAATAAAAAATCGATCTTCTCAGAATGTTCTCTGTAAACTCAAATGTGAAATCTCTGTCTTCTCTTGCAGCTCCATGCTTAGGATTAATCTGTGATTGGACTGAGTGGTTTGATGTTAGTAATCCTGAAAAAGATGGTGGTGACTATGAAACATACGATGAAATAAGAAAACATGGATACAAGATATGTGAAGCTCCTGAAAAAATTGAATGCAGGGCAGAGGATAAACCCGATGTGAGCTTAGAGGAACTTGGTCAGAAAGTGCAGTGTGATGTTACGTATGGACTAATCTGTAAAAATGAGGAGCAAGATGTAACTATGTGGCAACTTTGCTATAATTATGAAATCAGGGTAAACTGTTGTGAATGGCAAGAAATTCCCTGTGAGACTACACCTACACCTAGTACACCACAAACTGCAACTTCAACCACCACCAAGACAACAGTACCTCTCACCACTACATCCAGGATTCCAACAGAAATTACCACCTCACCCATACACATCACTTCAACCACAAGTGAACCTACACCATCAGTCTCCACTCCAGTAACTTCAACACCTCCAGGTATTTAACAGAAAGATACTCTCTGATTTTACCTTGCCATTGAAGAAATAAAAGCCTGTTGACTACTAAAGGCATGTACCCTTTATAGCATATGTTGAGCTGCACGGAAGTCTTAGTGCGGGTTTGGGGGTTCTATATTTCTGAGGGAGACAACATTCCTGGAATGACCAGTTGTGTGAGATAAAAGTAGGCCATGCTTCAGGCTACCATCACGAGAGGCATTATCTGTGTGGAGATGTGCAGAATTGCTTCATCAGGCTGACATCGCACCACAGGGAAATGTCATGAAAACCAGGCAGGAACATATTCCTGGATATACTTCCTAACAACAGCTTCACATCTCAGCTCTTACTCTATGAGTTAGTAAGCTCTTTATGTAATGAGGCAGATACAGAAAGCCCAATCAAGATCAAAAGCACTACTCCGCCCAATCTCTTGAATATTTGCAGGTCTTTCTGATTTTTTGAGAAGCACCTTCCAACAATGTCCCTAGTCCCTTTTCTAGGAGAGGAAGGCCATGACCCTGTTGGTGCTATAGCAGCTCCCTAATGTCTAATATTCTGTTCAGTGCACATTGAGTCCCACTCACGCATCTTGTGCCTTTGTCTCTTTTCTCTGTGCCTGCTGCTTCTAACAGGCCCAGGTTCATCGACACCGAGCACGGCATCCCCTTCAACAGAATCAACAACCACTACAACAACAGGCGAGACTTCCACCAGCACTGCCAGCACCCCGCTGCCCCCCAGCAGCACCACCAGCAGTAGCACCCTGGGGACAACCTCAACAGTTCCTGGAATACCAACACCCACCCCAACTACTGGAAGTACGTCCCTAAAACCAGTAATTCCCACCAAACCCCCTCTGCTTCCAACTACAGATTGAACCAACAAATGATTTTCTGGCTCTTTTGTCACTTTTAGCCTTGCTATGGGAATAATGAAGGTCTGTGAGCACCTGCATTTGTGCCTATGTATGGGATCAGGGATGGGTGTAACTGCTGGACATCTGCTGAAACAGCCTGTGCCCAAAGTTGGCTCTTGGGCTGGCAATTCCAGCAGGAACAAGAATTCAGGGGTCTTTGGGAAAGAAGGTCTTGGCTTCCCGAATTGTACAGGGCTCCGAGGATGTATTTCCTCCTGGTGGCCAGTTAGACAGATGCTGAAGTGATGGGAAATCTTGCTTTGGCTGCTGTTGGACCCTGTCCTTCCACTGTCGAGAATATAGTCATTGTACCCATAGTGTGCAATTGGAATGGGGCTTGGTTGTGTGACACTGTCATTTCAGGCCCTCTTTGGGCACAGGCTGTGCAGACTTTCTTCCCATTTTTTGCCTGGGTTGTCTCTGTGGCCATTGCTTCCACTTACCTGCAGTTCTGGGTGTAGGAAGCTTTGAAGGTTTTCCCCCTCAGGGTCTGGGGAAACGATTTCAGTATGCAGGTAGCCCCTTTCTATGTACACAAGCTCTGTGCAGTGGGTTCTCCCAGCGGTGCCATTAGTGCTTGTCTCTAGCTGTCTGTGCGCTGCTGGGGTTTGTGTCCTGTGTCTCCTTTCCCTGTGGTCATGCCCGCTCCGGTGTCTGTTTGATCCGTGAGACAGGGAGGTGGTGCATACGGTAAAACAAGCTGAGAGAGTGGTGTTAGTCCCTGCTTAGTCCTGCTCTGCCTCATGAGCGGCTCTTACGTGAGTGGTTCTTGCAAAAGAGAGGCCAAACAAAGCAGTGTTGACCCAGCTGTGAGGGGCAGACTCGGCAGTGCCTGTGTCCTGATTTGGGCCCAGAGTGGTCTGGAGGGCAAATAAGGGTAGGCCTTCCCACACAAGTGAGCTTTGTTGTGGCCAGGATTGGCTGACTGCTGTGGCAGTGTCTGAGGGGTGCTGCTGTGTGCAGTGGATGCCCAGAGCCCCACCCATGGGTGAGCAGGTGCCCCAGCTTGTTGCCTCTGTTCCGTCTGTTTCTAATTGTTCGTCTTGTTGTTGCCTCCCAGACTGTGAGTGCATCTGGTCGGACTGGATTGATGTGAGTTACCCAAATAGTTCTGACGTAAACGGTGGTGACTACGAAACGCTGGAGAATATTCAGACGACCATCTCCTCCTGGGTCTGTGCGAAAGTTGAGAATATTTCATGCAGAGCAGAGAAATTCCCTGACATTCCCATTGCAGATTTAGGGCAGACCGTGCAGTGCGATGTTAACACAGGGCTCATCTGTAACAATAAAGATCAGCACATAGGAGGTATAATACCGATGCCAGTCTGCCTGAATTACGAGATCAGTGTGTGCTGCACCCCCAACAGACCAGAGTGTCTTCCGCCTGTACATACCCCAACCACCACACCATCCACAACGACCAGCAAAATCAGTTCAACACTATCAACAACTTCTTCAACATCAGTGCCAACAGAGACTACCAGCGGAATCACCAGCACCACGATGCCCCCCAGCACCACCACCCCATGGACAACCACAACAGTTACTGGAACACCAACACCCACCCCAACTACTTCAAGCACATCCAGGCCCACACCAACATACACCAGCACCCTACAACCTCCAGGTACTTCTCTGATCTGGGCTCTCATGTTGTTCCATGCTGTGGGAGAAATGAAGGTCCCTGGGCACCTTCTGCCTCTGTGTGGGATCAGAGATGGCATTAGTTGCTGGGCATCCCCTAAAATGGCCTGTGCCCGAAGCTGGCCCTTGGGCTGGCTGCTTCAGAACTGTTGAGGATTCAGGGGTCCTGGGGAGAAGGTCTTGGCTTCCCTCATTCGACTTTGGCCTGTATGCTGGTACTCATGTTTGGCTTAGACAGATGTGGAACTCGTGGGAAATATTTCTGTTGCTGCTGTTCGACCTCGTCCTTCAGCTGTCAAGAATGTAGTCAGCGGACCCATGGTGTGCAACTGGAGCAGGGATTGGTCTGGGGCAGTGTCCTTTCAGGCTGTCTTTGGGCATAGCTGTGCAGAATTTCTTCCCTTCCTCCTCCTGCTCTGCAGTGTCAGTGCTAGCGATTGGCCGTGGTTATAGATGCAGGAAGGAAGCCCTTTCCAACAGGCTTTTGAGAAGCCACGTGCTGTGAACTGTGGTCTTTGGTTGATACTTTGGCTGAAGAGATCCACTGGAATTCTGGGAAGGCCTGCATCAGGCTGACATTGCACCACACAGAAACCCCATCACAATCAGGCAGGAACATATTCACAGAATCAGTTAGGTTGGAAAAGATCTCTGAGATCATTGAGTCCAAACTATGACAAAATACCACCTTGTCAGTTCGGCCTTGGCACTAATGCCACATCCAGTCTTTCCATAACCCTTCCAGGGATAGTGATGCCACCACCTCCTGAGAGAGGCCATTGTAATGTCTAAGCACCCTTTCTGGAAGTGAAGAAATTCCTCCTAATGTTCGAACTAAGCCTTCCCTGGCCCAGCTTGAGACTATGTCCTCTCATCCTGTTGTTTCTCCTCTCCTTTCATAATACAGAACTCCTTCCCTGGCCACAGCTTCCACTCTCAGCACTTACTCCTGGATACAGCAAGGTGTTTAGGTAATGAGGCAGAGCTAGAATTCCTCAGCCAGGTGGAAAGCTATTACTCCTTCTCATCATCTTGCCTATTGGTGGGTCTTTCTCATTTTGTGAGAAGCCCCTACCAGCACTATCCCTAATCTCTTTGTTAGGAGGGCAGGGCCATGACCCTATCTGTACACAGATTTCATGGAGTCTGCTTCCAGGGGCTAGGAAAGAAAGGCTTAGTGATAGGGGGGTTTCCTGTGCCAGGGGTAGGCTGATCGCTACAGGTCTGTGGCAGCTGCCCAACATGCAATTTCCATTCAGAGCATGTGGAGTCCCACTCATGCATCTTTGCCTTTGTCTCTTTTCTCTGTGCCTCCTGTTTGTAACAGGCCCAGGTTCATCGACACCGAGCACGGCATCCCCTTCAACAGAATCAACAACCACTCCCACTACAACAATAGGCGAGATTTCCACCAGCACTGCCAGCACCCCGCTGCCCCCCAGCAGCACCACCAGCAGCAGCATCCCATGGGTTCCTAGCTCATCAACAACCATCTCAACTACTTCAAGCACATCCACCCCAACACCACCATACACCCCCACCCCATCACCTCCAGGTACTTCTGCATTCCGTGCTCTTGTATATTCCCTTGATTCTGGAAAAATGGAAGTCCATAAGCACCTCCATTTTTGCCTCTGGATGGGATTGTGGATGGGTATAGATGCTGGGCATGTGCTGAAACAGCCAATGCCCAAAGGAAATCTTGCTTTTCCTGCTGTTAAACCTCATCCCTCAGGGGTGAGCATGTAGTCCCTGGAGCTGTGGTGTGCCATTGGATCGGGATTTTGTTTTGTGGCACTGTCATTTCAGGCGCTTTTGAGGAACAACTATGCAGACATTCTTCCCTAAGTCCTCTTTGTCCTGTCACTGCTAATGGTTGGCGTGGCTCTAGGTGTAGGAAGCAAACATTCTTCTGGCAGGCCTTTGGGAACAGTTTCACTCTGCGCACTGCCACTTGCTGTGAACTGTGGCCTTTGTCTGATGACAGCCTTTAGAACTCTGGGAGACCTTATATCAGGGGGGCAATGATCCAGAAGAAGATCACATGATAATCAGGCAGGAACTAAGTCCTATACATATTTCCTTCCCTGGCCACACCTTCCCCTCTCAGCTTTTCCATCAAGAGTTAGTGAGATGTTGTAGGTAATGTAGCAGTAGATAGAATGAGCAAGCTGGAATCCTTCTCCTCATCTCTTACCTATTGGTAGGTCTTTCTGATTTTGTGAGAAGCACCTTAGAGCAATAACCCCCATCTCTTGATAGGAGAGGAGGGCCACGACCCTGTCTGCGCACAGATTTCAAGGTGTCTGCTTCCTGGGGCCAGACAGGAAGGGGTCCTTGTAGAGGCCTTTCCTGGCCCAAGAGCTGGCTCACCTCTTCCCATCTGTGGCAGCTGCCCAAGTGTAATGCAGTTTCTGTTCAGTGTACTTTGAGTCCCACTCATGCACCTTGTGCCTTTGTCTCTTTTCTCTGTTCCTGCTGCTTCTAACAGGTCCGGGTTCATCGACACCGAGCACGGCATCCCCTTCAACAAAATCAACAACCACTACAATAGGCGAGATTTCCACCAGCACTGCCAGCACCCCGCTGCCCCCCAGCAGCACCACCAGCAGCAGCACCCCATGGGTTCCTGGCTCACCAACAACCATCTCAACTACTTCAAGCACATCCACGCCAACACCACCATACACCCCCACCCCATCACCTCCAGGTACTTCTGCATTCCGTGCTCTTGTATATTCCCTTGATTCTGGAAAAATGGAAGTCCATAAGCACCTCCATTTTTGCCTCTGGATGGGATTGTGGATGGGTATAGATGCTGGGCATGTGCTGAAACAGCCAATGCCCAAAGGAAATCTTGCTTTTCCTGCTGTTAAACCTCATCCCTCAGGGGTGAGCATGTAGTCCCTGGAGCTGTGGTGTGCCATTGGATCGGGATTGTGTTTTGTGGCACTGTCATTTCAGGCGCTTTTGAGGAACAACTATGCAGACATTCTTCCCTAAGTCCTCTTTGTCCTGTCACTGCTAATGGTTGGCGTGGCTCTAGGTGTAGGAAGCAAACATTCTTCTGGCAGCCCTTTAGGAACAGTTTCTCTCTGCATCCCTAGTCTCTTTGCTAGGAGAGGAGGGTCATGACCCTGTCTGTGTACAGATTTGCAAGGAGTCTGCTTCCTGGGGTCAGAAAGGAAAGGCAAGTGATAGAGACCTTTAAGAGTGGGTTCAACTCTTTCCATCTCTGGCTGCTGCCCAACTGCAATGCAGTTTCTGTTCAGTGCCCATTGAGTCCCACTCATGCATCTTGTGCCTTTGTCTCTTTTCTCTGTGCCTGCTGCTTCTAACAGGCCCAGGTTCATCGACACCGAGCACAGCATCCCCTTCAACAAAATCAACAACCACTCCAGCACCAGGGGAGACTTCCACAAGCACTGCCAGCACCACGATGCCCCCCAGCAGCACCACCAGCAGCACCACCCTGGAGACAACCACAACTGGATCACCTACATCCTCTTCAACTTCTGAAGGTCTGTTTCCAATACCAATAATTCCCTTCTGCTTTAGGACCTCATCCTTTAGCTGGCCAGAATATAGTCAATGGACCTATAGCATACAGCTGTTGTGGGGGGGGATTTGTTTTTTGGTACTGGTATTTTAGGCACTGTTTGAGCACAGCTGTGCCGACTTTCCTCCATTTCTCCTCCTTCTTTTCCCTGTCAGTGCTAAGGGTTGGCAGTGGTTATAGAAGCAGGAAGGAAGGATTCCCCTAGCAGGCTTTTAGGAACAGTTTCAGTCTGCAGACTGCCACTTGATGTGAACTGTGGTCTTTGGCTGATGACATCCAGTACTCTGTGAAGCCCTTCATAGAGGTGACATTACATTGCAGGGAAATCCTACAACAGTCAACTAGGAACATATTCCCTTCCCTGATAAACATGTTCCACACTCAGTTCTTACTCCATGAGTTATTGAGGTGTTTAGGTAATGAGGCAGAGATAGAAAATCCCAGCCAAATCAAAAGCATTAGTCCACTCCATCTCTTACCTCTTGGCAGATCTTTCTGATTTTCTGAGAAGTACATTCCAGTACCATCCCTAATCTCTTGCTAGGAGAGAAGGGCCATGACCCTGTCTGTGCACAGATTTCAAGGAGTCTGCTTTCCTGGGATTAGAAAGGAAGTGCTACTAATACAGGCCTTTCTTGTGCCAAGAGTGGGTTCACCTCTTTCCATCTCTGGCTGCTGCCCAACTGCAATGCAGTTTCTGTTCAGTGTACTTTGAGTCCCACTCATGCATCTTGTGCCTTTGTCTCTTTTCTCTGTGCCTGCTGCTTCTAACAGGTCCGGGTTCATCGACACCGAGCACGACATCCCCTTCAACAAAATCAACAACCACTCCACCACCAGGGGAGACTTCCACCAGCACTGCCAGCACCACGATGCCCCCCAGCAGCACCACCAGCAGCACCACCCTGGAGACAACCTCAACAGTTCCTGGAACACCAACACCCACCCCAACTACTTCAAGCACATCCATGCCCACACCAACATACACCACCACCCTACGACCTCCAGGTACTTCTCTGACCTGGGCTCTAATATGTTCCTTTTCTGTGGGAGCAATAGAACTCAATGAGCACCTCCATTTTTACCTCTGTATGGGATTGGGAATGGGTGTAAATTGCTGGGCATGTCCTGAAACATCCTGTGCCCAAAGCCAGCCATTAGGCTGACTATTTCAGAAGTGTTGAGGATTTAGGGGTCCATGGGAGAAGGTCTTGGTTTCTCTTTCTCAACCGGTTTCTGGGAGGTATTTCATAATGTTGCCCCCTATTATACAGATATTGAAGTGATGGGAAATCTTGGTTTTTCTGCTGTTGCATCTCATCCTTCAGCTCTTGAGAATGTAGTTCCTGGGCCCATGTTGTGCAATTGGAGTGGTGCTTGGATTTTTTGGCACTTTGGCATTTCAGGCCTCTTTGGGCACAGCTGTGCAAACTTTCCTTACTTTCTCCTCCTGCTTTGCCCTGTCAGTGATAACAGTTGGTAGTGGTTATAGATGTAGGAAGGAAGGATTCCCCTAACTGGCTTTTGGGAAGAGTTTCACTCTGCAGACTGCCACTTCCTGTGAACTGTTGTCTTTGGCTGATGACATCCAGCAGTACTCTGCAAAGCCATTCATGAGGGTGACACTAGTACAAGTACATGACAATCTGGCAGGAACATATTCCTGTGCATGTTTCCTTCCCTGATCACACCTTCTCCTCCCAGCTCTTACTCCATGAGTTATGAAGACGTTCTAGATAATGAGGCAGATACAGAAAGCCTCAGCCAGATCAAAAGCATTGCTCCTCATCTTCTCTTCCCTATTGGTAGCTCTTTCTCATTTTGTGAGAGACACCATCCAGCACCATCCCTAGTCTCTTTGCCAGGAAAGGATGGACATATGACCCAATGGATTTGCAAGGAGTCTGCTTTCTGGGGGCAGAAATGAAGGGCTAATGATAGAGGCCTTTCCTGTGCCAAGAGTGGGCTGACCGCTATAGGTCTGTGGCAGCTGCTTAACATGCAATTTCCATTCAGGGCATATGGAGTCCCACTCATGCATCTTTGCCTTTGTCTCTTTTCTCTGCCTCTGCTCTTTCTAACAGGTCCAGGTTCATCGACACCGAGCACACCACCCCCTTCAACAAAATCAACAACCACTCCCACTACACCACCAGGGGAGAGTTCCACCAGCACTGCCAGCACCCCACTGCCCCCCAGCAGCACCACCAGCAGCACCCCGGGGACAACCACAACTGTTCCTGGAACACCAACACCCACCCCAACTACTTCAAGCACATCCATGCCCACACCAACATACACCACCACCCTACAACCTCCAGGTACTTCTACATTTTGTGCTCTCATATATTCCCTTGCTTTGGGGGGCAATGGAGGTTCATGAGCACCTCCATTTCACAGAAGGATTTGAAAGAATATTCTGAGATGGAATGGCTCTTACATGGATCAAACCCACAACTTTGCTGTTATTTGCACCATGTTCTAGGCAACTGAGTTAGTCTCAGAGGCTATTCTTGCCTCTATAAGGGATCAGAGATAGGTGTAACTGCTGGCCATTCCCTGAAGTGGCCTGTGCCCAAAGCTGGCCATTGGGCTGCTTATTTCAGAAGGAATAACAATTTAGGGGTTCTGGGAAGAAGGTCCTGGCTTCCCTGACTCAACCGGGCTGCAGGGACAGATTTCATCCTGATGTCCAGCTTAAACAGATGCTGAACTCATGGGAAACCTTGCTTTTGCTGCTGTAGGACCTCATCCTTCAGCTGGCCAGAATGTAGTCGATGGACCTATAGCATACAGTTGAAGTGGGGGGGTTTGTTATTTGGTACTGGTATTTTAGGCACTGTTTGAGCACAGCTGTGCCGACTTTCCTCCATTTCTTCTCCTCCTTTTCCCTGTCACTGCTAAGGGTTGGCAGTGGTTCTAGAAGCAGGAAGGAAGGATTCCCCTAGCAGGCTTTTTGGAACAGTTTCAGTCTGCAGACTGCCACTTGATGTGAACTGTGGTCTTTGGCTGATGACATCCAGTAGCGCTGTGGGAAGCCCTTCATTGGACTGACATTACATTGCAGGGAAATCCTATGACATATTCCTGGGCGTAGTCCCATCCCTGATAAATGTGTTCCACACTCAGTTGTTACTCCATGAGTTAGTGAGGTGTTTAGGTAATAAGGCAGAGATAGAATTCCCAAGGCTGCTTGAAATCATTACTTCTCCTGCTGGTAGGTCTTTCTGATTTTGTGAGGCAACTTGCAGCACCATCTGTAATCTCTTTGCTAGGAAAGGAGAGCCATGATTTGCAAGGAGTCTACTTTCTTGGGGCTGGTTATAGAGGCCTTTCCTGTGCTAAGACTGTCCTGAGTGCTGTAGGTCTGTGGCAGCTGCCCAACACGCAATTTCCGTTAAGCGCACATTGAGTCCCACTCATGCATCTTGTGCCTTTGTCTCTTTTCTCTGCCCCTGCTCTTTCTAAAGGCCCAGGTTCATCGACACCGAGCACGCCACCCCCTTCAACAGAATCAACAACCACTCCCACTACACCACCAGGGGAGATTTCCACCAGCACTGCCAGCACCCCGCTGCCCCCCATCAGCACCACCAGCAGCAGCACCCCGGAGACAACCTCAATTGTTACTCTTGGATCACCAACACCAACCTCCATTCCTATAAATATTAACACCAGGACCCCTCAGGCTCCAACTACATTACCAATAAGTAATGTGGCTTTCTTTTCCTTTGTTGGTTTGAGAAATTTGTATTTGTTGGCAGCTTACCATGGGTCTTAGTTTTTATACTCTGCAGGAATGTGGTTCTTGTATATTTCCCAAAAAATCATACAAAGCTAACGTTTTGACAGCAATGTCAATATCCTCTACCATCCCAGGTAATCTTCCTCTGTAAGAATACATGAAGTACATGAAGGGGTTTGCCTGTTCTTACCCTGATGCAAATTAATTTTTGTTGAAGGAATCTCTCTGTGGACTTTGTGGGCAGAAACAGTGTGTCTTACTTCCTCCAGCATTGTTACTGCACTCTTATTATGTACACAGTACTACTCTATCTGCCATGTGTCACATTATGCTATAAAAGCACAAACAGATGGCTCTGAGGCTGGCCTCTGAGTTTCCTGAACACTGTTTTAAATGCTGATCAAAGACTATTTTAAACGAGTCTGCATTAGTGCCCATAATGAAAACTGGCCATGTGAAAATGAAAAACCAGAAAAGTGAATTTGGGGTTCCTAACATCCCAAAATATCTTATGGGTGAGTAGTCTTAAAGCTCTGGGGGTTAGATATAGAACACATACTGTCTCCAACAACTGCTCAGTTTCATTAGAATCAGATGACTGAGCATAATCAGTGATGGTATGAATGTGCCACATGAAGTAGCACAGGGAAAAATGGTCTATCCATAGAACACAGTAAGATACCAATACAGAATTAACCAAAGAGTTCACTGAGCATTGACCACTCAATGGATTCCCCTGGATTTAGGACTGCTGAACGCTTCTCTGCAGTATAAAGTTTTAACATTACAGAAGCTCTTCCACCTGACACTGATCAATTGTTTATATCAATGTCTCCTATGGAAGATATAGGAGATTTTATTAATAATCCCTCTGTGATGCAAAAACCATTAATAAAACAGTTTCTGTTTTATTCTTATCTAAAGACCCTGTGCTTATATTTGTTGAATTACATTTGCATATTAGAAAATGAGATGAAGTTGTGAAGAAAATGCAATTTCTGTACTTAAAATACTGTGTTTTCTCCCTATCATAAAGAGGGTACAACACCAGAGACACCGACAAAGACAAGTACTCCAGTTACTCCTTCAGCTACTCCACTGCCAACAACTAGAACAACAGAAACAGGAAGCACAATATTTACCAGAAGCACCACTATTGAACAGTCAACATCCTCCATGTCAACAAGCCCAGTGACAGTCACCACCACTGAAGTCACTGAAACAGGATCGACCCCCAGAACTACCACTTCAGGCCCCACACCTTCAAGATCCACCAGCACCACACCAGTAACAGAAACACCTATCCATGAGACCACTACCACTGGGACCACAAGACCTCCAACGGGATCACATACCACCCCTGTCCGTACCACAACTTCAGGACCATCCTCCCTGGGGTCTACTCTTAGCAGTACTGTATCTCTGTCATCAGCATCAACCAGCCCTGTGCCAGTCACCACCTCTGGTACTACTCCAACAAAAACCTTTACCACCACTTCAGGAACTACCTCTAGCAGTTTTACCATAAGCACTGCAACCACCACATCCACTACCTTCAAAACTCTTCCCCCTGGCTCTACTAGTACATCTGGACCAAATGCAACATCAACTGCAGTCACCACTACAGGAAGTTCTACAGTTACTCCAGCTACTGGCTCAAGTTCCACTACAAGTCTAACACCAACTACTCCTAAAAAAATATGTTCTATTTTACCTAATGAATCTTATGAGGTGAGTAGATTTCATAGGTTTTTTAGAATTCTGATTTGGATGGAGACTACATACATAACTTCAATGTTAGTAACATATGGGGTAGGCATTAAACTGGATAGAAAAGGAAGATTCAGTCTGTTCTATTTCTTTCTGTTTTCTTGGGCATCCGCGAGACCTCTAATGATATTCAGATTGATATATGCTGCTATTAGTTCTTCAAGGATAGTTTTTAAAAAGCTTTCTTCAAGGAGCTAGGTCCCCTTTCAGTGTTTCTCTTTATTGCAGGATAACTCTGGTGAAGAGGTAGCCAAGAGCTAAGGGGTGCTAAACTATCTTTTCTATTTCTGCTTTTGACTGAGTCCAGAGTGGGTAAAAGTCATGTGTTTACAGTGCAGCCCAACAAGAAACCAGAGGGTTGAATATATCTGAGTTTTGAAAGAGTCATACTTGCTCATATTCTGGTTTCAGGAAAGGACTGTGAAACAGATCACCCGATTCAAAAGTTCGTCAAATTTGACTCAGAGTTCTGATTTTTTTTTTGAACCCTCCACCTCTAACTCAGACAAATTAATGTCTTGTATAATTCTAAAGCCTCCTCACAGCTTAGATGCCTGTCAACTTGCTCAGTAGATCTGCAGGAATGAAAATTATACATGGTTTTAAAAACAGTGGAAGATAGAAAAATGCATACAATCACAATGCGTGCACATAATCACCTTGGACATTTCTCCCTGAATATCTGGTATTCACTGTAGCTTTAGCTGTTAATCTGTTCTAAACATTAATGGAGGGGAATTGATCATATATTGAACATTGATATTGATCAGTGTCTTTCACTGTTGCTTAGAGAAGCTGTCTAGGTGATGAGATTAGATCCAACATCTAACTTTCAGATAGCTGAGACTAGAAAAGGTGATTCCCATTTCGGTTTAGCGCCTTGACTTTTGTAAGTAATGCTTTTCACTTAGCAGCTTTTCAGATTTCTGGTGGGCAAAAAAATGTTGTTAAACATACGGTGTCTTAAAAACCTGCAAAAGATAATCAGACTCACTGCTTCATAAGGTTTCTCTCTGTCTTCCCCCTTCCCCTCTCTTTTCAAACACAGCAAGGTGACTCATGGTGGCTCTGTAACTGCACTAAGGCAATCTGTGTAGAAGACAATATCGTCCAGGTGATTCCTATAATCTGTAATCCACCTCCTAAACCCACCTGTGCCAATAACCTTTCTCCTGTGCCAGTCATTGATGAGGATGGATGCTGTTGGCACTGGGAGTGTGATTGTAAGTATATATTTTGCTGAGTATTTAATCTCCTGTGGGAACAATGCTACTGTCACGACTAACAATATTTATCAGGGGACAAGATTGCACAAGGCTGTGACCCTCAGTCTTCTAATATGGGTCTGTTTGGAGTGCTTCATCGATTCATGGAAGTATTTGCTTAAGTTGCCATCACTTCTATGTAACTGTTGGGTTAGTAGAATAAAATGGTCTCCCAAAGCAGGATTTAAATATTCAGATGAAGACTATAGTGTAGAAACCTATATATTACTTGATCAGACTATTGGTAAAGCTATATCTATGGTACAGTTAATCCTATTCTCAGTTGTCTGTCAGTAACATCAATGAACTGTGCCTTGAAAGAGCCTGTTTTTTTATTGGTGACTCCTACATAATGAACTCATGCATTGACAAACACACTTACAAAACTTAAATGCCTAAAGTTCGATGATTCCCACATCTACAGATTTTGTTTGTAGTCTGATCTGATTCTGTATGTTGCCATACGAGTCTAACTTCGCTGTATGTTCTTTTAGGCTACTGCACTGGCTGGGGAGACCCACATTACATGACTTTTGATGGACTGTACTACAGCTACCAAGGGAATTGTACATATGTCCTTGTGGAAGAGATTAATAAGAAAGTTGACAACTTTGGTGTCTACATTGATAACTACCATTGTGACACACGGGATGTGGTCTCCTGTCCTCGAACGCTCATTGTGCGACATGAAACCCAGGAAGTGAGGATGACAACAGCGAAACCAAATACTCTACAAGTAACGGTATGAGAGAATGTTACCATTGATTTTTTGATTCAGATAGTAATATCACATCAAAATGATAAGTATATTCACAATGTTTGGAAAAAAAAATTAAAAGTAATCTGTGTTTTAGATTCAATGACAGTGTAGATTATAAAACAGGACTGATTTGAAGGACTGCTTTTTTGACTCTGAACATGGGAGAAAAAAATTCTGCAACTTCTTGTCTTTTTAATCTTAAATATTTTCAGTGCCATATCTCTCCTAAATACATAAGTGTGGACAAATTACTAAGAGTTAAGGATATAAAATAAGTCGATTTAGGATTAACATTAATGTAACAAAGGAAACAACAAATGTTGAATGAGAGGAGGTAATGTAAAACAGACATAACAATAAAGTACTGGCCTTAAGCCTTTTTTAAAAGTACCATTACTAGCTTTGATTTGTGTCATCTTTTTAATTTTTTGGAATAGGAGCACCTACATGTTTATTTCATTGATAAATATGATGTCCCAGCTTTGGGGCTTCAAAATTGGATGAGAAGTGTTTGGGGGGTTTTTTGTAGCTTTCTGCTGTTTATTTGGTTTATTTTTGTACATTACTGTGTGAGAATATTATAAGTTAGATTGCAGCATATTGTTGAAAATTCGCAACATTTAGACTTCCTTTTTTTTCTCCAAAGCAAAGAAATCTGCCATTGCTGAGTAAAAGTAGTAGTGTTAATTCACAGAATCACAGAATCATATCCTGGCTACTGTATTTAAATAGATAATACAGATTTAGTTCTATTTCTTTCATTCCACTTTCCTACATATTCCCTTTATTCCAAGAAAATTAAAACTTTATACAGTGTGAATTTAGGAGAATTTTATATTCTGTATTCGCAAGGTGTCCTCAATACCAGAGTCACTCTAATGAGTCTGTTAAGTGTTTAGGATTTAGCTAGTTTAAACCCTGAATTTTATCTTAATTTACCAGATGTTGATAGGCTTTTTTTGGCTCAGAGAAGAAAAGTTTGGCTTTCCAGTAACATGAAAGAAAACACAGGGACATTTGATACCAATGAAAAGGTTACTATTTACCTTTACATTCTCTCTGCAATGCAAATGAACAGTCAATAGTTTTCTAAAGTTAAAATTAATTATATGCCCCTTTTCTGTTTTCCTTTGTTTATTAGGTGACAGTAAACAACCAGATAGTGGCTTTACCTTATAAAAAGTTTGGTGTGAGCATCTATGAGTCAGGCATAAATCGTGTTGTGGAAATTCCTGAGCTAAAAATGAATGTGACCTACAATGGCTTGTCCTTTTCTATCAGAATGCCCTACAGCCTGTTTGGCAACAACACTCAGGGACAGTGCGGTAAGGCTTGCTCTTGTAATATTTGTACTCTCAGAAAAACGTAATGACAGCCCTGCTACAAAGATGAATGGAATTTGATTACAAATTTTTGAGTGAATTCTTTCTCCTCTTACCAATCTTAGGTACTTGCAATAACAACACAGCGGATGACTGCATGTTGCCGAATGGAAACATTGCAGAAAACTGTGAAACCATGGCAGATCACTGGCAGGTTGTTGATCCCTCCAAACCACAGTGCTCTCCAGGCCTAAGTCCTACAAGTTTACCTAGCACAACCCCAACACAGCCTTGCAAAGAGTCTTCCATCTGTGAGATCCTTTTGGGAAGGTAGACATTCCTCTTGGTTTTACAAGCCTTTGATCTTCAACTGAATTGGCAATTTTAGGATTAATGTTTCAATTACAAGTCTTTCTACCTTTTATTTCTTGTAGCTTTATGGGTTGCTTCCACTCCTTTTACTTTTTCTAGTTGTTATTCTTTGCTGACAGTTTCTTTCAACACTCTGACTGCTGCGTTAACCTTCATTGATGTTCTCATCTTCTTCTACAGTCTCTGCCCTCCTCTGTCCTAGGCCTTTTTCCACATTCACTTAGCAGAAAACAGAGTCCAACTGAAAACAAAGATCTTAAATTTTAGAACTCCGTGTCAGAAAAAAACCAAAACAACCCAAACCCAAACAAAATGCCTTTAAAGAGGGAGCACGTGGTTGCAGTCAATAATATTCATGTAGCTCCTGGACTGAAAATACTTGTGTCTGAGTGTTTTTTGTAGGTGAGTGGAGAATACTTTAAGATACATTGAAAAGTTACAATCTGGATAAGTGCTCTCAGTAAAAATCTCTCATCCATAGTCCATGTCCACATCTCCTGCTGCCACGTCATACCAGGTTAAGCACATTGAAAAATTTATGGATCATTCAGTAACTAATAATGATAAATATTTCTGTTTCTAGTGTGTTCAAGCCATGCCATGAGTTTGTGCAGCCTGAGAAGTACTACGCAGCCTGCATTTTTGATAGTTGCATACTTCCCAACCTAGACTTGGAATGCTCAAGTCTGCAGATCTATGCTGCCACCTGTGCTGATCAAGGTGTATGCATTGACTGGAGAGGTCACACCAGTGGTGTATGCTGTAAGTATTTGGCCATTTATCTTGAATTATTAGGGAAGCTTGTATGGAAATGTTTCAACAGTAATGTCATACTGCTTTCCAAGCAATGAAGACACCAATAACTCACACCAGCTGCTTTCCTAAAGTAATTTTGCAGTTAACATTTTTAACAATGGAAATATAAATGAGCCTGCAAAAACAAACATCTGTTGACTGTGCCAGAAACATCTGTATGAGTATGTACGTTTTTTGTACACAGACAGTTTTGTGTTTTGCAGCATCAGCAGATCACTCTATTAAGTGATATATGCATTATTTTTCAGCTGTAGTAAAAAGAGGACAAAGAGTAGGAATATACTCCCTTTTGAGAACTTGTGCAAAAGGCACTGAAATTATGAAAAAGAGTTGTAATCAAGATGTAGACTCTTGGCTTTATCACCTTAATGTAAAGATGGTGCCCTATCTCTATGGCTAAATTGCAAAAAGATAATTTCATTCAAAGACATGAGTCTGATATCTGAGATTTTTACTCCTTTCTTCTCAAGGTTGTCCAGATACATAGGAAAATGAGTTAACGCTGTTTAAGTTCTTGGCATAAGGTCTTGGGGCTTTTATATGACAGTTACTGAGCTCTTCCTTTTTATTCTTCCATTCCAGCTTATGAATGCACCTCAGGAAAAGAGTACAGAGCATGTGGTCCTGTGAAAGAGCCAACCTGCAAAACAAGGTAAATAATTAGTTAGTTATACCTTCTACAACTGTTCATTCATATCTAATGCACAGGTGAATGAGGAAAATAAACCTCTTTTCATGTTTTAAACTGTCAAATTTATTACCCCTATTCTGTTGATCCTATGTCTGGGTGCCTATACTGTTCATGTTGTTCAGCTAGACCAAACACAGACAATCCCTAATCACAAATCTGCAGATCATTTGCCACTGTATCTTCAGTGAAAGGTTATTTGGCATAGTCCTCCTCTATGTGCCTATGACAGTAATGGTGTTCCTCTGAACATTTTGTCTCATAGTCACCAAAATGAAACTTCAACTAAACAAGTGGAAGGCTGCTTCTGTCCTAATGGAACAATGCTGTATGACTCTGGCGTGGATGTCTGCGTGAAAACCTGTGGTGAGTTTTACCACTTTACTTGGATGCATGTTTGCTTCCTCTTTGTTGTTTTCTTCTTATGTATGCAACACAGATCTGACTGTATGCAGTCAACATATAGTAGAGATTCTTACTGGTATGTTACTGGTAATGGAGATTTATTTTGATATTTTCACAGGCTGTGTTGGCGTGGATATGATCCCAAGAGAGGTACGATGCCATATGCTTTGAGATTTAAAGTAGAAGTTGGGGGTTGGGAGAAGAGAGCGGTCTCCACTGGTGCAGGCTTGTTTTATGGTTTCCCAAGTTTTTATTCCTGATTTTACTTCTGTTCTTTTCAATTGGTAACTGTGCAATCACTAATTTTATTTTCTTTAATGACAGTTTGGGGAGAAGTTTACAGTAGACTGTCAGGACTGTATTTGCCTGGAAGGGGAACATGGCATTGTATGCCAGCCTCATGAATGTCCTGAAAAACAAAAGGTCAGTTGTGATGGAGAAGGCTTCTATGAGGTCACCGAAGTCAATCCTGAAGACTCCTGCTGCCCTATTGTCACCTGCAGTGAGTTTAAACTATGTTTCCAGTTTTTCTATGTGACTTAGAAACAGAAAGAGACTGAACTACTTTAGCACCAGAGAGCTACAGCAGTTAGTCTCAAAATAGTATTTTTCCTCATGCCTTTTAAAATCGGCTTGCCCAGTGTTAGGGAGAATGCATTTTAATATTGAAATGATTCAGGATAACTGAATCTACAGTTATGGGACTTAATGCAACTCAATTTCTAGTTCTTGAGTTAGGGACCACATTTTATTCAAGCAAAAATTCTCTGTGGATTTTCATTTTGCAGCATTTGCCTATAACACGGGAGAGAGTAATAGCTGTTCATTACTTCTCTGCATAGAATTGGGATACTTTATTAACACAGGATAATTACGTAGTAGAAAAAGTTTCATAAACTAATGAGGTACCCCCAAACCAGTGCCCTGATGTATTAGGAAAAATGTGTTCCCTTTCTGCAATTTGTTTATTTGAAGAGAATCTGGACTGTTTCCTAGCAATGGAAAGTTCATCCTAAGTGCTTTGATAGATGTTTATTTCTAGTAGCTGTGATTTAGTGTACTTTTTGGCTTATTCTTTTCTTTTCCCCTCAGAATGCAATACAAGCTTCTGCACAGCTAAAGCCCCCAAGTGCTCACTGGGATTTGAAGTTCACTCTCATATTCCCAGTGGTCAGTGCTGTCCTGTGTACCAATGTGGTAAGTTCCTTGGAAATATATTACAATGACTAGCATTATATATTACAGAATTTAGCATTACACTTAATGAGACTGTATGCAATAGCCTATTGAAGAAGATATTAAACACAGTCAGATTCTAGAAATTAGTTACTATTTAACATTAGTTACTACTGCTATAGTTATAACAACTAGGAAGTCAGATACACCTCAGGTGACTCAAGTTCAATTCTCCTGATTATAAATACATGTAAGAATTAACTGTGACTGTGGTCTCACCTTAATCTACAAAAAGTCCCTAAAAGACTACTTTTGAAACAAAGAAGTACTTGGAACCTATTAACTGGACATTCTTGGCTATGAACTGGACTGCATATATTGGGACTATTCTTCCCTTTTTGCACATGCAGCATTGGTTCTTATACTTTATGCATGTCATGTCTGCTACCAGAATGGAGGGATAACCAATGGATTTGAAATCGTTGTGGAAGAAATGAGTTTGACTAGAGTGATGTGAAGACATTTTTTATTCTTTATTCCTATGTTAACATCTAACTTCTTGCTTATTAACAGTTCCCAAGGGCGTCTGTGTTCACCAGAGTGCTGAGTTCTTGGTAAGTTCTAAAAATGCTTTAAAGACCAGTGAGTATACTTGATCACAAATGCTATGAAGAGGTTTATCCAGTACAATCAATATTTTAGAAGTTTTCAGATTTCTGTCAGGAGGTCATCAATTTCACCAAGCCTAAATCTCTCCTCAAAAGGTTGATGTGTACGAAAGACATTGAAGAGCTGCTTCTATGTCAGTATCAGAAGGGAGATTTGGGTTAAATGTGCTTGCATTTTAAAAAGTCAGTTCCCATTTATTGTCAGTACATTGTTGCAGTTTTAAGACTCTGCTTTCAAAAATTAAAAGATATGTGAGTAAGTATTATTCTAAACAAACCTAGATTTGTAATAAATTCTCTTGGGTCTAGTAATTGTACCTGTCCTTTTAATATCAGAGTTTATCATTGCTACATCGGACTTCAATGAAGACACACATTAAATTATATACAGTGTTTAAAATGTTGTCTTTATAAATGTCTAGCCATATAGCTATCCAATTGTCTTTATGATTTTTTTTTTCCTTTTCCATTGCTTGATTTACAGATTTTTTGAAATTAATCAATGTCTGTCAAACATGTTATATATCATTAATACATGCTTTTTTTTTTCTTAACATTTTTAGCCTAACTCCTCAGTCTTTGTTGATAAGTGTCAGAATTGTTTATGCACAAATGAAGTTAACATCAGCACTCAACTGAATATCATCTCATGTGAACCTGTTCCATGCAACACATACTGTGCACCGGTAAGTGGCAAACTTAAACAAAAAAACCCCAAATACCCATGTATGTGAAAATCACTTTGATCAATGAGTGGTATTAAGCAAAGGACAGGTAACTGAAATTCAGAGACAATTCAGTTCGCATTGGCCAGATTAGTTGGGAAATTTTTGTAGAGCACTTAATGGAGGGATATTTAATTATTAGACATATTTATTGCAGTACTTTAATTTATTCCATCTATAACCTGATTTTATTACTTGTCTTCTGTTGGGTCGAAACACAGAAAGTCACAAATCTAGAGTGCACTTCAAAGCATAATCAATTAATGGATTAGTATGCTTTCATTTATTTCTCAAAAATTCATCTATTATAGTGCCATTGTTTTTAATTACTTTTAATATCTAGGGATATGAAATTAAACCAGTGAAAGGTGAATGTTGTGGAAGATGTGTGCAGACCAAGTGTATTATACATGCAGCAAACAATGCTGAACTCATCTTGAGTGTAAGTATGCTCTACATTCTGTGTTTCTACCAAATTTGTAAAGTTCCCTGTTTCAGAAGGGGAACACTTCCTTGCTTAGGCTTAGGGTAAGTTTGTACCTGAAAGATCAAAGACTCATGTGAAGCAAAACCTATCTACAATTTTTTGACCTGAAGGTAGGTCTCATGAAATCAAGTTTTCTGGAAGGCTCTTCTTGGTATGACAAATCCAATACCATTGGAAGGGATTTTCTTTCAACATCTGCAAGCTTGGGCTTGTCTTTGTTATTTGATTTCTGTATAAACACTAGTAAAGCCTGCATATGGAACAGTTGTATTGCCCCTGTAGGGTGGGAGTTTAGGGTGGTTCTTAATTAGCATATAACAGTCTAGCTCTGTGTGGATGATTTTGTTAAGGTACTTTACATACTTCAGAGACATTTTTCTTTCTCAAGGAAAATCCCATGTAAAACTGAAGATTCTCTCCATGTATGGCATATTGCAATACATGTAACAATCTGTATCTGAAACAGCTGTTAAAAATAATTTATTGGGAAACAAGAGGAAAGTCATTGTCAGAGAACAAGAAAATTTTTGTCTGAGCTTCCTTCAGCTTTTCTTATTACATTTTGCATTTTGCTTGCAGCCTGGAGAGTTTAAAAATGATCCTACCAACAACTGCACCATTTATAGCTGTGTAGATATCCGCGACCAGCTTATCGCTTCCACGTCTGAGATTACCTGTCCAGCATTTAATGAGGAGAGCTGCAAACCTGTAAGTAAAAACGGAAAATTTATCCTCTACTCCATATATAGATTACTTCAGTTTAGTTCAGCCATCTAACTAAGAACAGAAGTAAAATTAAGCTCTGATGACCCTTCACCATAATTTCTCAGTCCCAAGGGTAAAAGTTTCTAATGTATCCATGCACAGCCCTATCCAGTGTATAAAATATCTGGGTGAGAACTCGAGGCTTATAACTGGTACCTGTCTCTCAGTAGCCAAACTACTGGTCAGCACTGAGATACTGTCTTTGCTGAATGCTTTGTTTGGGGTCCTGTCTCAATACGAAACATGTTTTCTTGAATGTTCAGAAACACAAGTTGTTCAGTCAACAGGCTGCCAGTAACTATTGTCGGAATAGTTTCTGAGGAAAAATTACGTGATGTTAACTGTAGACTTCCTTCAAAGAGTTATTTTTATTTTCACAATCCTTTGTAAATTGATAGATTTCAAGTTTGGAAGAGACATTATCTTTGCTTATTCAGACCAATGCCGTGGTGTTCGCTGGTTATTTCCAGCCATTGGTGAATTGCTCTCTTTAGTTATTGGCCTAAAAGCCTCTTTAAATACTGGGAAATAAAAGAATATAATTTTTTTTTCTGTTTCTTTTTTCTTTTAGGGAACTATTTCATTCTTACCTAATGGTTGTTGCAAAACCTGTAAGTATCCCAGTCTATCTGAATCAACAATACAGAGAATGAATTGTCTTCTTTAACCAAACCATTTTCCAGCAATAGATGCTGATATATTTCTATTTAAATAGATACTTTTACATTGATGTTTGTTATTCCAAGCATTCACTGTCCAATGTCTCTGGAAAAGTTTCAGCTGAGGCAGCAATATCACTTAAGACAGTTCTTTGAGTACACTAATGAAGCCGAGGGAATGCTGAACTGCAAGGAACTTCTGCAGCTATTCCACTGCAAGTATTTTCTGCTCTTTCCCTGTAGGTGCACCTGTGGATAGCCGTACACCGTGCTCTGTCCGTCAGAGAGAAGACTTCATTGTCTATAATGGCTGCCGTTCCGTGGACAGAGTTGTCATGACTGAGTGTGAAGGAACATGTGGAACCTTCTCGCTGTAAGTAAACTTACTGGACAATGAGATTTAAATTCTGCTGGCACTGAGCTTGTTTATATAAAAGGAACAATAAATAGGCAGACTGCAGAATGGTAGAAGACTTGGGACTATCTGCTCCCCAAATCATAGACACAAAATCGTGAAATCTGCGACTGAACAGCTGATTTGTCTTAATACAAAGCAGAAAAACGTAATAAATTTCCTTGGGCATTCAGAGAGACATGATAAGGTCTATTCATCCAGTAAGAGCTGCCTTGTCTGTCATTTGTGTCAGACCACCTTTGCTGGAAATCATCACAAAAGAACATGGATTATTTCCTGTAATGGGAATGAGCCCAGAAAGTAGCCAAACTTGATACTCATAAGCTCCAAAGCTGCTTCTCAATAGTTAACATCTAAAATGAAATACATATACATCTTTTAAAGGAAGATTCAAACCTACAATTTTTATACAGTAAATAAATTAGAAAACTAATGCTTTAGGGGTGGTGTTAGTAGAGTATTTTGACTGTACATTTTTCTCTGAAATGAGGGAATATACAAGAAAGTGGCTATAAGGGAGTGGATAGAAGAACATCTGGTAGTGAGCACTGGAAAAACACAATTCTAACTCCCCAAAGAAACTGTCACTTGCTGCCTATCACTGAGTACATGGGAGTAAACTGATCTTTAGTATCATACGAAACTTTGATTGGCCACAGAGTTTATTAGTATTTTGAAATACCTTATCATCTTAGGGTCTTTCTTTGGTTGCTTCTGCACACAAATACAAAGAAAAGGTGGATCTTGACACAGTTCATAGCCTGATATAGACATATTCTGCAGGTTAGGAATGGTACTTGGGAAGCTGATTAACATAAGACTGCAAAAAATACTTTGAGATGGGAACAAAAAGAGCTGCTGCTTCCCTTTCCTGTTAACACTGCCCTAACTGGGATATGCATTTTATTCCCATGATCCAGTTGGAGCTTTTGCAGCCAAGTGATTGATGTGATGCTATTCTATATGACGTTGTAGCCCTTTGTCTATGCAATTTTCATATTCAGGTCAGGGCTTTGTCTCCCCTTAACTGTTACTCTGGTGTATTTAAAATCCATCAGTGCTAGGATTATGAGAAGGATCTGAAGAAGCTGATGGTCTTCTACTCACTGGGGTTTTTTATAGGACTTTGATTCCAATGGTTTTACCAAAAAAAGAAAAAAAATCTCAGCAAGTGCAATGAACTTTAAAAGCATATTATTATAATCATAACTATAATATAAATATAATTATAATTATAAATTCTGTCAGGTGAGCTTAGAGCTTCCATTAGCCACAACTGCAGCTTCTCACAGGAGTTCTGTACATGATTTCACCCTTTCCTTCTGTATGTTGGCTTCTACCACAGAGTAACGTTGCCATTTTCTCTTTTAATAGATACTCTGCTGAGGCCAATTCTATGGATCACAGCTGTTCCTGCTGCAGAGAAACAAGGACTACTGAGAAGTACGTGGTACTGAAGTGTCCTGGTGGGCACTCAATGTCACATAAGTACGTGTATGTGGAAAGCTGCAGCTGTCAAGACACTGAATGCAAGAACCCACAGTCCGGTGAGTTGCAGAACTGAGAAGAAAATGACAAGGCTGCTCTGAACCGTACCAAGAGGGCTGTCGGCTTGACATCAAAATGAAGACAGAAAAAAACTAGCAGCATTTAACTGAAAGGACTGTGCACCATTCTTAGCTTGCTTGACTACTTTTGAACATTGGTTTTCCCAGTAACTGTATCCTGTTTGTTCTCTGATTAATTTGAACAGTGCTCTATTTATTTGTGACAAAATAGGAACACAAATTTGTATTCTTCCAAGTGCACAGCCTTTTGGGTCCTCTTAAAATCTGTTTATTTTCTCTAAATGATTAAAAGCACATTTCAAAAAGCATGGCTTTTGTAGTTATTTATGTACTTCCTTGATTAGTCTGAGTTGGAAAAGAGAAGAAAAGTTCTTTTTCTAGTTAATGGAGGTTGAGTGAAATACATCCTAAATTTTTGGGAAGTCTATTTCTGGCTCCCTAAAAACTGAAATATCAGTGTTTAAGGTGGGAGAGAAGTTGACTCTGTCTGCCAGAACGAAGCCAAAGATGAATAATCATGAAGTGATTCAGATTACTTGGAGAAACTTCAAGTTTAGAACCAGATCTTAATTTAGCAGGGCTGTGTGCGTTAGAACTGTCTCAGGTCATCACAATTATATATTTTCACTGAAAAAGTAGTCCCTCAGCTCTGTCATGTTCACATATGTTCATTCACAGTGCTTTCAGGATGTACAGTTAGTACTATAGTAAGAGCTCTCCAAATTCCAACCTTTGCAAAACAGATGCCCATCTCTAAGCTTGTAATCCCAGGCTTCCTCTACAGCAAATGGAGAGCAAGAGCCATTTTTGACATTCATTTGTTTCACAACAAAGAACACATCCAAACGAGGTTAGCTGAATTGCATTCAAAAGTGCTTGTTTATCTGATTTTACTGTTAGGGGAGCTGAAGCAGATTAGCAGTACAATGAGGATAAACAACCCCCGTTGTATATGAAAGAAAGGCTTTTGGTGTTATTTTGTCTCTGTTAATGAACACATAATTGTGTTTTACCCTTCTGAGAGTTTGAGCAACGGCCAACCTCAATAGTAGCATCTTTAAAGGATCAGTGGCACTATTTTGTGCTACTACTGGCTTATCAAATGTGCTGCATTTAGGATGCAGACACTGGTAGGAATGCACAGAAAATGAAACTCCAGATATTTTTCCGCTTTCCAATACTATGATTGGAGAGCTAATTTATGTGGAGTTGGAGAGGTAGCTGATCTAAGGAAGTTTCATCAGTTTACAAAGCAACTAATGAAGCTTGGTTTCTGCTTCACTATACGTTTCTAAGGATTTTTATCTCTATGATCATTGTGAGATGTGACTGATATTTACCTCCTGGGACACTTAAAAAGTCACTCTCCTCTGGATTCTTTGTTGTTTAACAATTTCTTTGCTGACACTACAGCCATACTTTTCATCTAGTCTTTTGCAAAAATGCTTTTCTCAAAATCTGTTGAGATTTAGCTGTCTTTGAGATTTTCATTTTTGCAGTTAAATTTGGCTGAAGTCAGAAAATAACTTCCAGAGACAAACAGATACAAGGTGTGATCAAATCTGCTTTGTTTCCTATGAAAGAGATAAAATATTACTAGTCAGTAGTGGCATTTTGCTGCACACTATATTTACACTGTAATCTAAAATCTTCCTTGCTGCATTGATTTTTCATTAGTTCTGTAGTTTGAACGGGCTCTTCTAGTGATGGGTGAACTACTTAATAAGGAAGTTTAAAGATTCTGTACAAGTCAATAAGGCTGCAGATTTTGACTTCACCACTGCAGGGCAGTCTATGGCTAAGAATTTCAATTTCCTCAAGTAGAGTGTTTATCTCTGAGAAGAAGGAATGTTGCTGTTTCCCCACAGACACTTGTATGGTCTTAGTAAGCACTGAAAAAGAGTTATTCTGAAAGGCATTTACACGTGGTGTCACTTACAGTGCTTCATATTGCAGCCCTTCCAGTTTTGGTGCTGGGTCCGTGCTGCTCATGAGCAGGTTCCCAAGCGGATGCTGTCAGAGAATTTTTACAAGTCCTTTGCAGTTCTAGAGCAAACTGTACATGTCAAACCTCCACCCCTTTCTGCACTTTTAATCACCTTAGAATTTCATGGTTTCAGTTTGCACCTGCATTTCCAGTGGAAGTGGATGACAAAACTGAACAGATGAAACTTTCCAGTGGAGAAATCCAGAGTCTTTGGGAGAGAAAAAAAAGAAAGAATCCTTAACTCTAAGAGTAGTAGTGATAGTGAGCAGCACTTTTGCTCCCCTCCACAACCCTCTTGGAAGTAAATGGAGACCTGTACTATCTGATCCCATGAAGCATTTTGTTTTTTAAACAACAGCTGTTGGATCTGCAGGTCACAAGTAGAGATTCTTCTGAAAAACCCAGAGGACAAACTGAAGAAATCTCTCTCACTGCCCTCTGTACCTTTAGGGACTCGGGAGATCATGGGACCTTCTGATCCCATTGTCTTCCAGGCAGGACCTACTGCAAGGGACCCTGGCAGCATCATAAAAAGCATTAGTGCTGGAAGGGAATGGGCTTGACTCTCTCTGTCCTCAAAAAATTACTCCAATCTCCAAGAGTTTTCTTCTCTTCTGGAGTCTAGCAAAAAGGGAGAAGTAGCAAGATCTTCATGTCATGTCTGCATGCCTGAGCCCCCTGAGCCCTGTGTTCGTATCCTCTTAGACTTTCTGTCTAGCCTCCCACTTTCATTGCTGGCAAATGGTTTCTTTTCAGTTTGTTTCTTTTCCATCTCCCAGTACTCAGCAGTTTTAGTTTTGCCTTGAAAAATGAGGACATCTTCTTGAGAGGCAAGTAGGACTTCCAGCCACATAGCCTTTGAAGGCACCAAAAAACAAGGTACCAGCTCTTACTCTCCACGAGCTGCTTGGTTTGGCTTACTTTGTCTTATCCCTAAGCACGATATAAGCAGAGTTCCTCTAAATATGAGGTTTGAACATGTCCCCGAGGCCCTCAAAGAAGTACTTGAAACTGCTTTGATGTTCTGGTAAACAAAACAGAATAAAACAAAACAAATCATGGTCTTATTGCTGGTTTCCTGAAGGGAGGGAAGGGGAGATATGGGCAAGCTGAAATTCCCCGTTACAGGCTGGAGCTGGAATTTACCTATAGCATGCTTATTGCCCTGGTTGTCCTGATTGTGACTTTGAGTTCTTGCCTCAGGGGCAGGCTTTTCCAAGGCAGTTGCAAGCTCAAAATCTTTTCCAGGCAGCTGCAGTCTTACAGGGAGCTCCCCACAGCACAGAGTTAGCTGTGGGAGACCACCTCCAAATGCTGGAGCAAACCCGCGTGGGTTGGCTGCAGCTCAGGGAGGGTGCTGTTGCTACATGAGAAAAGAGCACTGCAGCTGAGGGCTTCCAGTGCAGCTCACAACACACTTGCCCACTCTGACAAAAGAGATCCTTGTCCTATTGCTGTATGGGCCACTGGGAGTTGGGGGTGGGCAATACACACAAATACTCCCTTAGACACACCTTGAACCTCACAGTAGGTTGCATGCTTCCCTGGAAGCAAGGCAATTGTGGAATGCATTTTATCTGTGAAACACATGGGTTTTAGTCTTCTCCTTCAAGATGGTTTGAATTTCAAGCAATTTCTTTGTAGTTACCTGGAGATGCACTAAAAACTAAAGGTTTTTCACATGAATTTACAGAAAGACAGTGAGAATTTTCATCTGGAGTTGAAAAGGAATTCTCAGAAGATTTGCTGATAAAGTGAGCATGATTGTTTTATGAACCATTACTGGACAAGTGTTTTGAGAACACCAGGGACAGAAAGGAAAGTGCTTGTTAGCAATATGGAAAATCACTGCTGTTATCTGAGGTAAGGCAGATGGAATTCAGAAGCAGGGGAAAAAGCCACATGCAAAACAAAAAGAACTCTCCCCAAAATAATACAAGGTAGAGGTTTCTGATCTAAGAACTACCTTGCTTACTGATATAACTATGTAATATAATCTTATTATTTTGTGCTGGAGGAGAGGAAGGGTAAGATAAAATTTTCAGTATGTTTACTATTTGACTGTACTTTGCTAAACCACACTTCACTGAACTAAGCACATACAACTCTGCACATAAGCCCCAATGAAAGGCCTTCAGCAAAGGCAAAGCCCTAAGTAAATAATCATGCAGTTTCTGTGCTTGTTGTACAATGTTTGCATTTGTCTAGAAAAGCAAACTCAGATACTGCGAAAGAAAGACAGAAATAGATTTGCAAACTATGAGATCATAGGAAAGAAAATTCTTATGAGTTTTAGGTCTGACAAAAACTGAAACACATTTAAATAACTGTAACATTGATACACAGTTTCTGAAATTTCATCTCTCAGCAGAAGCTTTGGGGGGATATTTTAAGGTAGAACAAGTTCTTCAAATAAAGCAGCCCTCTACCAGGGCCAAATTTCCTAAATTAATTCAATCTTTTAGGGCTACCACAAACAACTGTGTTCTTAACTGGCAACCTCCTAGACTAAGGTCCAATCAGGTCCAACCAGACTGCATAAGCCATATTCCCATCACTAATCCTGTAAGTTCTTTTTCGGCATCACCCTTTTAAAATGTTATGTCTACAATTAATTTCCTAGAGTGTTCTAGTTTTTCAGAATTCATATGTGAAATGCTTGAATTCCTTTCTCAAACTTGTCTCTAGAATAGTAGAAAACACCACTGTAATGTTTTTATTATCCCAAGACTTTGAGAAAACTACCAAAGAGTAGAACTCAGAACTCACGATATATTTTTGATATTGTTTCAGTGCAACAGCTTCCGTATCATAATATCTTTCTGCTGCAGAGTGGTTTAAAGACAGAAAACACTTTATGTTGCCTTTTGCTACTCTTTTGGCTAGCCTTCTCGCCACATTTGACAGAGAAGTGGTTTCTTCCAATGCTGCTGAGCTTCCCCAGTTCCAGGAAATCACTGATCTTCCAATGATACACAATCACTCTTACAAAGAGTAGTTCGAAAAGATCATTCTGGAAATTTGTTCCTGGTCATATTATATGATATATTTGAATGGTGAAAACCTTGTCGTATGCCTTGAAGGTTAAACAGAAAAGCTAGTCATGAGAGCCTAATTCGGTTAGTCACATAAATGCTAATCTCCACACCCAAGAAGAAGCTTCTTCCTGACTACACCAAAGGCATAAGCCTGACGTAATGATAATAGAAGCATAACAGGTTTTCAAATCTTTAAGGATTAGCA